ACCCTGAGGTATTTAGGTTTCTACATGCCGTATACTAGTACACAAAGAAATTTTGTTCAGGATATGCTACTTGACAAAGTACAAACACTGATTTACGTTTTCTCACAACGACGCTTGTCTCTTCGAGGATGTGCAATGATTGCAAATACTCTCATCCTGTCCCAACTATGGTTCTGTCAGCGGCTTTTCCACCCGACACAAGCATTTTTAGACCAAATACGGCGGTTGATATACAAGTTTGTCTGGCAAGAGAAATATCCCAAGGTATCTTTCGATCAATTATGTCTTCCCCGTCTACAGGGTGGCATTGGTCTTCTAAATCCTGCGCGCCAACATTTAGTACTCCAGATGAAATGGCTTTTTGCTCTTTTTGATCGAAACCAAGGTAACACGCTGCTGAAGAGTGCTTTAAGCCATCATCTACTATTTATGTCTACCAGCTCCTCCTTTCCTATTCTGCCTTTCTTTTCTCCAGTCTTGCGAAAACATGATATCTGCCATCAGTTCTCTATCATTTTTTTCATGTTTTAAGCATTTGACCATTTTGGAATTGACTTTAACCTACAGCATTTTCCTTTAATTAGGATGTTCTCTGACCTGCCCTCTGACCATTGGCTCTATCGACATACAGAATTGCCTGCAATGATCTTCAAGTTTGATGAAAACACACACCGGCTACGTTTACAAGTACGCACAGAGTATTCCAAGTTTCCCCTCTTATGCCGTTCGCTGTACAACAATATAATGATTCGACATTGCGTACAGCTACAAACCTTTTTGATTCCTTATATCTATAATGAAGTGGAGCAAGTAAATGTTGAAGAAAACGATCAATCATTAGTGAGCCAATTGCATGACTCTCCTCTCTGGAGTCAATACACGTCCAAGGCTTACAGGATGCATAATTATTCCAGTGCTTCAAATACTCAATTGAATTTGCCATCTAAATTGCTGCGTCTGTTCTGATCTTCCTCAATGCCTTTACCTTCCAGAACTTTGTGGTTCAGAGTTATCAATAAGAAACTGCCTACAGAATTACAACTGTATAAAATCAATCGCGTTTCCAACAGTAATTGTCGCCTATGTCATTCGAGTATTGACTCATTTGAACATTTCATTCTTTACTGTCCTTGGAAATGGACCACTTGGATTTAAGTTCTCACTTATTTCTATCCACAGATGTATTTTTCAGCTGATATGGTTTACCACCTACTCTGTCTCGAATCCTGTCCTCATTTCCTACTGCCTGACAGTCGTCTCTTTACGGTTCTATCTGTCTGCCAATGGAGAATATGGTCCGCTTACTGGCGTTTCGCCTTGGACAATCAACCCTTCAACCCTGGGTGGGTCATTTCCGACATTATTAGTCAGACTTTGATCTCACTACAACAACATTATTTGCTCGTAAACGCTTTTTGAGTCTCCCAATGACTAATTTTGTGCATTTTTTTTTCAGCTTATCCACGTTATACCCCTCTGTGATGTGTAACTAAAAACATACATTTTAAATAAAAATATTTTACAAAAAAAAAAAAAAGAAGTGATATCACTATTGGAATCCTGTATGCCATGATGAGAAATTAGTAGAGAAGCTTTAATATACGATAGCGCTATACTTACATCATCAGTAACTAATTCAGAACTTATAAAATCCTCGGCTATAATACGTCTGCAATCTCTTTTTCCTTGCGTTGAGGTAAAGGGTTGTTCAGGCTTTGATGTCGAGGGCTTTTCTCTAGAACGCTTCTATATATCAACATAAATATGTCATACAAGCAACGCAAAGATATATGTAACTATTGATATTACTTACCTGGCCACATGAAACTTTATCCTGTGTTATTCTATTCTGTTTATTATGACATACAAAATCAGCTATTCATCGCAATACCAGTGGTTGTACTAGTATTTAGCTTACCTGTTCAACTTTCAATTGCTCAATGGTATTATTTGAGATGTAATTATTGTAGACTGTTGAATGATCATTGTCGTTGCTACGTTTAGAATTCTCTTGAATCAATCTCTTTAGATCTTCATCCTATTCAACACAATCACTAGTAGCTTTTGTGGCAACCCGGGAAAATATAATAAACTTACGTTATATGATGTCTTTAAACGTGCAGTCGCATGGTTTTGTTGCCGTTGCTGATACACCAAATGGAAAAATTATTCGCGCATTTCTGAAAAAAAGATATGCGTACTTTTAAAATAGCATATTCAACAGAAAAAAAATTGAAGACAGAATTGATAACGAGATGTATCCAGTCGAAAGCGTAACAGACTACGATAGATACACAGATTTAAAGCCTCCCGAGAAAGGGATCAAAAAGAAAGCCGAGTTACCTGCAGAGCTGAAGCAAACACCTGCGAGAACAAAAGCATATAAGCACTACAAGGATGCTGAAAAAGAAAGGTTTTTTTTTTCTTGTCGAAGGAAAAGGGATGAGTGTTCGTGCTGCTGCCTTGGCCCTCAACATTAATGTTCGAACAGCACAAGACTAGATAGCCAAGAACAACAAAGATCCTCAGGAGTATATCCAAAGGGCTACAGGCAATGGAAGACCTGTAGGCAGACCGCCCATTTTAACTGATGAGCACAGAGATTTCATGATCGAATGGGCAGACGAGAACACAAATTCCGTTACATTGGACGACATGCTTGACGTATTGACAGAAAAATTTGGCAAACTCGATATCAGTAAAAGCGGTTTCAACAAGTTTGTCAAGGATAAGTGTAAGATTACCTTCAAGCAGGCTCGTTTCCAAGCTTTCGAGAGAAACAGCCCTGAAAAAATCGAAGAGCGCTATCAGTGGGTGAAGAGATGGATGAAAACAGATATGGACTTCACTAGCAACTGTGTGTTCATTGACGAAGCTGCTTTCCATATCAACCTTAAGAGAAATTTCTCTTGGTCCAAAGAAGGCGAGCGTGAGATCGTGAAAGTGCCCAAAACAAGAGCAAAAACTACTACCATTTTGGGTGCCATCTCGCCTTTTGGTGTTGTTAACATTAGTGCAAGAAGACCAAGAACATTACCCTCATCAAAGAAAAGAAAAGCAGCAGGAGGTTCGAATGCAAAAGTGGCCAGTAACAGTGGACATTACTTCAATTTCATCAGTAGTGTTTTGGATGTTATGGATCGTCATGAGGAATTCCGTGGCCATTATTTGATCATGGACAATGCTCCTATTCATAAGCATCAAGATATTCAGAATCTCATTGAGAGCCGAGGCTATAAGTGCATGTACCTCCCCCCCTTACTCGCCTGAGCTTAACCCATTGAGCAATTCTGGTCGGTTTGCAAAAGCAAACTCAAGAGGGAACAGCTTTTAGAAAAGGAGATATTGACTTCGAGAATTGCAGATGCTTGCAATAGAATTTTGTACAGTGATCTTAAAGGCTTCTGTAGATACTCTGCTGCCAAATTTGAAGACTGCCTTCAACGCAGACCTATTTAATAAACTCACGCATTTTGCGGATACACAAGCATGCTAATTTTTTTTCAGATACTACGCTAAATTCCGTTTGGTGTATTTAACATCTTTGATATAGTCGTGCAAAATGGAGCGTGCTGAAGCCAATGAATCTTTGGGAAAGTTTTCATGCGTCGTTCTGAAATAGTTTTCAAAGCTTAGATCGTTTTGCGTTTCAAAGAACTTTGAAGTGTCCATAATAGATATGAAAAGCAGAAACAGTTCCATTCGCAGCAGTCCAAAGGCAGCACCGTAGTATAGTACAACACCACACAATCAACAGCAAGAGGTGTCGCAGCAAGGATAGCTGCCTAGCTCCTGGAACTGTTACGGACAACCAGGTCCATAGCCTTCTCCAAGTCCTTCAGCTATGAACGTGGAGGGGTGTCGCGTTGCTTTTTGCGATGCCAAAACCTTAGCTAGTTTCTGTTTGCAACACACTTTTGACGGGAGTGTTCGTCGTAAAAAAAAAATATGTTGTTAGTCAATGGCTTTTTTTTTTCTTTTGAGTACTGCCTTACGCGTAATTTGCTTGATCCTGCTGATGTACAGTTGTCAGAAAGATAAGAAAAAAAATGAAAAATGGAAGAAAGGGAATAGGAATGAAAAGTGACGTCAGCATCTGATTCTCGGAGTATCGTAGTAAACCTAACGAACTTACAGAACTGAGCTTCGTTAACATATTAGTCTGCGTATGCGTGTTTCGCAGAATTGAATATGGTGCATTCATTTTTTCCTGTAAATAATTAGGGTGCGATATACCCCAGCTTCATTTTCCAACAGACCAAGCTTGTCCTTTTTTTTTTTTTTTTTTTTTTTTTTAGTTTTCACAACACCCGAATGAATAGTCATCTCTTCTATAAAAGAGTGAGCATTGTAGATAAGCAGTGAAATGAGTCTATGCTCTAAATGCTATATTGCTTTGATTTGCTCTTATACTTGAACAGCATGAAGGAAAAAAAACTAGATATTTACATCAATCATGTCTATATATGGCAAATCTGATAAAGAAACCGAGAAATTGAATTTGCTGTTCTAAAGCAGTGTAAAATATCACAGTCCATTTCTTTATTTTTTCACATAATGCAAACATACAATTCTATTATAAATACTCCTCGATTTTCTTTGAGTAAACGACAAAGTCTTTGCTTATAACTTTACCTTACTTTTACTTTTGAGTATCATTCCCGAAACATATTGTTACTATCTTATTTCCTTAAAGGGCTCTTGAATCATGATACCTTTGTTGTTGAATATTGAACATGATCCTTTTGAGTCGAACTGGAGCATTATCAGTATGTAATCTGCCTTTCTTATACTTTACTTCTATGTTATATATCCTTATTTAAAAGTTGGACAACTATAAGTCAAGCACTGACGTTGCATTTTGACAGTTCTACAACTATTTCTATTTTTGGTTTCGGAGTTCATTATTCCGTACACTAAATATATATATATTTTTTTTGACTACGACTTTTCTTTTCTTTTCTCTCTTTTTTTTTTTTTTTTTTTTTTTTTTTACTATAATGTCAACACAATTAAGTGTATCTGCTCGCTTATTCAAAAAAAGCCTAAGACAATACACTACAAAAGGTAGAATAAACACTTGTTTTATACTTGTATACTCACGACACGGTTAAGCTACTTTGGCCCCCGGTCAAAAGATACAAGGCTATCAAGTGCAACAGGTAATATCACTCGCCTTTTATCCTCTTTTCTTGCTAACCAGACAATTATAGGTTCGAAAAGTACCCGAACTTGAATTGACAGCGATTAGTCTAAAGCATGAAGCAACAGGTGCACACCATTTACATATTAATCGAGACGATAATAACAATGTCTTTGCTGTTGGATTTCATACACCTGTCAGTAATAATACGGGCGTACCTCATATCTTGGTAAAATATAGGCAACAATGCGTATTTGCATGTACTGATGGTGTATAGGAACATACTACTTTATGTGGAAGTCAAACATATCCTGTCAGAGATCCCTTTTTTAAGATGTTGAACCGAAGTTTAGCTACTTTCATGAATGCTTTTACAGGTAAAAACAAGGAAGAAAGAGAGAGAGAGAGAGAGAGAATGACACATATAATAGCTAGCGATTATACAATCTATCCTTTTGCAACAACCAATGTGGCTGACTATAACAACCTACGAGATGTTTATATGGATGCAGTATTTCATCCAAGATTAGATAGACTTGATTTTAAACAAGAAGGATGGCGATTAGAACATCAGACACCTACTGGTAAATAGAATATATCTATCGTCTGATACTTATGTTCTGTAGATACAACAACACCTATTCAATTCAAAGGCATTGTGTATAATGAAATGAAGGGTCAAATGGTAAGCTCATTCAATATTTCGCTCTACTCATGTCTAGTCTGATGCCAATTACCTGTACTATATTCAAATGCAACAAGCCATGTATCCTGGCACAACCTATGCCTTCTCAAGTGGAGGTGATCCCAAGTTCATTACTGACTTGACACATCAACAACTATTGGATTTCCATAAAACCCATTACCATCCAAGCAATGCTCGATTTTACACATATGGTAACTTTGATCTTCAGGATCATTTGGCTGCCATTGATGCCAAACTCAAGGGATTCCAACCCTCTTCTGATTTACCCTTTGTCAACAAGACAGTGGAACCATGGACTGGCACCAAGAGTGTAGAAACAACCTGTGCCTTAGACCCTAGTAAGTTCAATAGGAAATGAGTATTGTGCTCTAATTGGTTTAGTGAGTCCTGTGGATAGACAAGTCAAGTTATCCTTGTCTTATCTTACAAATCCAACCCAAGATACATTTGAGACATTCGCTATGCGTCTCTTGTCTTATCTTTTGTTAGATGGACATGCTTCACCCATGTACAAGGCATTGATTGATACGAATCTTGGATCTGAATTCTCTATTAATACAGGCTATGATAACAGTACAAGGTAAAGTACTATCAAGTGAATCACATGATCTGATGATGATGATGATATTATAGCACAAGTTCATTGTCTATTGGTCTACAAGGTGTTAAAGAAGAAGATGTTGATAAAGTAAAGCAGACGATTACTTCTGTACTTGAACAAGTCAGACAAGAAGGCTTTGATCCTAAGCGTATTGAAGCTGCTATTCATCAAATGGAATTAGGACAAAAACATGCAAGTATTTCAATAGGGGGTGGATGCATTGCTGACTCTGAATTTAGAAAACAGCTGATTTTGGTCTGACTATTATGCATGGCATCACTTCAGGATGGTTTAACAGGGTTGATCCAGTAGATCTATTAGAAATCAACAAGAATTTGAATCGCCTTCAATCTGAACTAGCTCAAGGCAACTTCTTTGAGAGTCGCATTGATAAATACTTACTCAACAATCCACACACACTCTCTTTTGTGATGCGTCCTGATGAAAAATATGCTTCTGATCTGTTAGTAGAAGAAAAGACTCGATTAGCAGACAAAATCAACCAGTTATCTGATGCTGATAAAGCACAAATAGCCAAGGATGGACAAGATTTATTGGCTTCTCAAGAAAAGCAAGAAGATCTCTCTTGCCTGCCTTCCTTAAGTCTCAGTGATATTGCACCCAAAGCCAAACACACTGTATTAGAACATACAGGTTTATGCAACACACCTGTTCAATGGCGTACAACAGCCACGAATGGTATCACTTATTTCAGAGCCATCAGTACACTCCCCTCCCTCCCTGAGGACTTGAAAAAGTATTTACCCTTATTCTGTGATGCTCTTTTATCTCTGGGTACACGTCAACAATCCATGGCCGAGATAGATGAAGAGATTCGACTCTATACAGGTGGCTTACGTGCTTCTACTCTCTTGACAACCAATCATTCGGATATAGACCATACTGAAGAAGGTATTGCACTTGTAGGCAACTGTTTAGACCGCCATATTGATCGTATGTATCCTCTTCTGGCTAAATTGATACACGAAACCAATTTTGATGATATGGATAAACTCAAGACATTGATTATGGGTGTATGTGTTTGTATTATTTCTAAAAAGGGGGAGATTAACTTTTTTTTTATTGGTATAGAATGCTTCTTCTATGGTCAATGCTGTAGCTGATTCAGGCCATGTCTTTGCTCGTACATTTGCTGGTGCTAGTTTAACCCCTAGTATGCATACATCTGAATTATGGAATGGTATGACACAAGTGAATTTCATGAGCCGATTAGCACTACAAGAAGACGTGTCTGACATATCAGCCAAACTCAAACAAATTGCCTCTGCTGTCTTGACACAATCCTCGCTTCGTATTGCTGTTACTTCAGGTGAAGATGCAATTGAACCCAACACGAAATCACTTGTTCAGTTCATTCAAGGATTACCTACTGAAGCCACTGCCCCTGTGACGACAGAGACAGTAAGTAGATGTCATTTTTAATCTTTTTTTTTAATTTTTTTTTAACATATAGACACCATTTACCCCACACTACCCCAAAACCTTTTTCCCGTTACCTTTCCAAGTCAATTTCTCTGCACAAGTCCTCCGAGGTGTGCCTTACACACACCCCGATGGTGCTAGCCTTCAAGTCCTTTCTTCCTTGATGACCAATCATTTTCTACACCGAGAAATCAGAGAGAAACATGGTGCTTATGGTGGTGGTGCTCGGTATGGTGGTCTGAACGGCCTGTTCTCCTTTTATTCTTACCGAGACCCACGTACACTTGAAACCTTGGAGACGTATCACCAGTCTGTCAAATGGGCTCAAGAACGAGTCTTTACAGATCAAGAATTGACTGAGAGTAAACTGTCTATTTTCCAAGGGATTGATGCACCCACCAGTGTGTCTGAAGAAGGCATGCTTCAGTTTGTTCATGGTATTTCTGATGAAATGAGACAAATGTAAAGTGATGGGAAAAAATTCATGTTTTTGACTGATAATTAATTAGGCGACGTGAAGCACTTTTAAAGGTGACTCAAGATGATGTTCAACGCGTAGCCTATCATTATCTAGACAAGGCCTTTGAACAACATCAGTATGCAACAGCCATCTTGGGTGAAGCCAAGACAGATCAATACAAACAAGGTTGGCATATTCATTCATCCAAAGAAGATGACAAATAGGCGGAGAATCCATATGATAAATTTCACATGAATCGCATTTTATCACATGCATGAATCCTTTGTCATTCTGTCTCCGAGTTTCTCCATATAAAAAAAACATATAAAATAAACCTATAAAAAACCCCCTCTCTTCTCTCCACAATTTCTCACTCTATTGTTACTATCATCATGACTGTCGACCACGAACAACAATTATTCCTTGAAGAAGTTGAAAAAGTAAAGCAATGGTGGGCTTCACCTCGTTTTGCTAATGTAAAGCGTCCTTATACTGCTGAAGCCATTGTCTCTAAGCGTGGTTATTTCCCTATTCCTTACCGATCTGACATCCAAGCCAAAAAAGTATGGAAATTACTTCAGAACCATAAAGCACAAGGCACTACATCCCATACGTTTGGTGCATTGGATCCTGTCCAAGTGACTCAGATGGCCCCTCATCTTGAAACTGTCTATGTCTCTGGTTGGCAATGTTCTTCTACTGCCTCTACTTCCAACGAGCCTGGTCCTGATCTTGCTGATTATCCTATGGATACTGTGCCTAACAAGGTAGAACACTTGTTCTTTGCTCAATTGTTCCATGACCGTAAACAACGTGAGGCTCGCTTGGCCATGACACCTGAAGAACGTGCCAAGACACCTCCTATTGATTATTTGCGTCCTATCATTGCAGATGGTGATACGGGTCATGGTGGTATTACGGCTGTCATGAAACTGGCTAAAATGTTTGTTGAGCGTGGTGCTGCTGGTATGCATGGTAAGTGAATCATTATGAAAGTGTCTGTTGATTAAACAACAACTCCCCCCCCCTTTTTTTTTAGTCGAGGATCAATCCCCTTCAACCAAGAAATGTGGCCATATGGCTGGTAAGGTGTTGGTGCCTATTGGAGAACACATCAATCGTTTAGTGGCCATTCGTGTTCAATACGATATTATGGGTGTAGAAAACTTGATTGTGGCTCGCTCTGATGCTGAAGCAGCCACGTTGATCACATCCAACATTGATCCCCGTGACCATGAATTCATTGTCGGTACCACGAATCCTAACCTGGGTCCTTTAGCCACTCTCATGAATGAAGCTGAAGCTGCTGGTAAGACAGGTGCTGCTCTTCAAGCCATTGAAGATGAATGGATTGCTCAAGCAGGTCTGAAGCGCTATGGTACAGCTGTGGCTGATGAACTCATCAAGGCAGGCAAGAAAGCAGAAGCAGAAGCCTTCTTGAACAAGATCCATTACAAGTCCAATGCTCAAGCACGTCAAATTGCTAAACAAGACTATGGCATTGATCTCTTCTGGGACTGGGATCTTCCTCGTGTGCGTGAAGGTCTGTATCGTTATGAAGGTGGTACTGAAGCTGCTACTTCCCGTGCTGTTGCCTTTGCTCCTTTTGCTGATATGTTGTGGATGGAAACAAAGAAACCTATTCTTTCTCAAGCCAAACAATTCTCTGAAGGTGTCTTGTCTGTTTATCCTAAGGCTCTCTTATGTTATAACTTGTCTCCTTCCTTTAATTGGTAAGTTGTTATATATATATATATATATATATACTGATTTCTTATTTAGGGATGCTGCTGGCTTGAATGATAACTCGATGCAATCTTATATTCATGATTTAGCTAAACTTGGTTTTGTCTGGCAATTTATTACTTTGGGTGGTCTTCATGCTAATGCTTTGGCTACTGCTACTTTTGCCAAAGCCTATAAGGAATTCGGTATGCTTGGTTATGTCAGTCAAGTCCAACGTAAAGAACGTGAACATGGTGTAGATGTATTGCAACATCAGAAATGGTCTGGTGCTAACTATGTTGATGAATTAATCAAGGTAGTTACAGGTGGTGTTGCTGCTACTGCTGCTATGGGTAAAGGTGTGACTGAAGATCAATTTAAATCATAAACATGTTGTGTATAGAATCATTTCTTGATGAAATGAAAAATAAATATTCGGATAAACATTTCTTTTCTTTTTTCACATGTAACCTAGGTTACCGGAAAGACGTTTGATTGGCTCATCATATGAGAATCAAGATCACGTAAATTTATTTATTCGTTATGAATCACATCACCCATTACAATGTACCTATTTTTTCATAATCATCAATTGACTGAATTGTAATTATTATCCAATTTACCCTTTATCAGCAACAACACTGCGGTGATTATAAAACACATTGTATTTCAATACCCAACGAGGCTTGACATGCTTATGGATATTGTATTTGTTCAGCACACTGGATAATCCTGCTGTGGTCAAGATATCTACGATACAGATGAATGTTATTTTATTTTGTTTTTTGGATTTCAATCTCCATACCTGTAGTGTCACTATTAAAAGTGATTTCAATCTGATGTTGTTTCCCGAGACGAATTAATGCTTGAGGTAAATCACAACATTGGTCTACATGAACTTGATCTATAGAGGGTTTGACAGTAATGTTCTTTTGAAGAAATGCTTCTAGTGTTGTCTCATCAAAGTCAGATAATCCGAGTTTTGAAATGACACCTTGATGATGATAAGCCTCTAAATCCTTCCAGGCCTTGTCTATCGATGCTGAGTCTTGTTGAGGATCAAATGAGACAATAAATGTATCAATCGACTCAACATCCAACAGTTGTTGAAGATGACGAATGGAAGTCTCGATAGTAGATGCTTGATTCTCCAGAAAGAACAGTTTGGCTATCGAACTTATTAATCACAGGCTCATCTTTAGTCTGTGTTTACCTGTCACTTCTACATCTTGACGATCTTCAGGCTGAATACGGCTACTTCTTCTTAAATCAGGCACTTCTAATAATTTGTGTTCTGAAAAGTAATGAAATGATGGTTGATGAAATAAAGATGTCTCGAGTGTATCTTGAATGGCTTGCATCAACTTTGGATAGTGGTTAGTATATCATACAGACAGGTTTAACACTCACTTCTGTATTGGATTTCTTATTCCAACAGGCATTTGGATTGATGGCTGTACGCATCACATTGCCTGTATAAAGTACAAGTTGATCAAAATCTGGAATAGCAATTTGACTAGGAGAATGAGATGAAGGCATGAAAGGGAAAAAATAAATAAATAAAAAATAATTCCATCTCGTTTAAATCTTGAATGGCTTAGTAATACATTTGGCCGATTAAAAGTCAGAAAAAAAAAGACATGTATTCTTACACTGTTGTGATGAGTCAGACTAAAATGATAAAGGACTCTTTCTGATCTATAGTGCAGTCTTTAGGATAGTACTTTTGAAGCTAACAAGGATAAGATACATTTGCATATTTCCATTGTATATATATATATATATGTATTGTACGCAGATTCTTCTTTTGTGTTTATATATATATATGTGTGTGTGTCTAATTAAATCAGGTGATATGATACTTTAGAGTCTACATTTTAAGGGTGTATATAGACCAAAACAAGTTCTTTGTTTGTGATTACTTGGCTTCTGTGTGAATTTTACATGTTCTTTTTTTTTATATGCATGATTTATTTTTGACCATGACATCAATCCTTTGTTAAACTATATAAACAAGCATGTTTTGTTCTCTTCTTCTTTTTTTCTTCTTATCCTTTGGTTGATTTATCAATTTAAACAGTAAGTTGTATCTTGTCTTGTGCTTTATTGACCTTGTCTTAGTGAGAGAAAAGTGGAAAAAGAAGGTAAACTACATCGCACGACCTAAGATTGATGTCTCTTGATAGCGTACAAGACGTTTAAAGGCCAAGCGTAGAGCTCAAAAGAAACGATTCCATTGATTGAATAAAATCTAACATGCTTTATTATACAAAATGAGAGAATGAGTTGAATTAGAATTCTTTTGTTTCGAGTGTTGCTCGGTTCTTTTTCTTTTCTTCTTTTAAACCTTGGTGTAATTGATGAAGTTGTGCAGCCACTGTGTTATTGGCAGCATGAATAGCAACACCGTCATGCAGGAATTTGTCAAGAAAAGAAGTGGCGTTGCTAATAGACATTTCTTTACTGGATTCAATCTTCAAGTTGAGAGGAACGAGTTCTGATTTCTTGCTCATGTCGAAAAAAAATAGGTAAAATAAGAAAAAAAAGAAAGAAATTTGCTGTTTCTGGTTCATTTTAATCTAAGCCACCATACATAATAATAATAATAATAATAATAATAATAAAGAGCCATGTTATCGACATAATTGCCTTATACGATACCAGCCTTATTTAAGTCAGAACCAAATTAAATGTGTCTTATTTTCTTAAAAAAAGAAAAGAGTGAGTCGTTGGATCAATGTTATTTTGAAGAACTCAAGAGGGAAGGTAAACACTTGTATGCAATAGCTGACTTTATTTTCATTTAGTTTTTTAGCATCTCCTCTTGAATTCAACTAATTTCACTCCTTTTTTTTTTCTCTCTTTTTTTTTTAATCATGTCTGGTAAGCAATAAAGGAGAGATCATCATACAAGAAAAAACTAACATCTACAGATACAGGCTCTCTTCGACTAGGTCGTCCTACCACCGGCGCTGATATTGGCGAAATTCAACAAAAAATAAGTCAGGCTGAAAAAGAACTCAGTCAACTCAAACTCGAACTCGACCAAACCAAACAACAAGCCAAACAAGCTGAAGTCTATGCTCAAGAAAGTGGCAGAACCAACCGAAAACTAAAGACCGAGATCCAGACGTTGACAGACATGAGTAACCGTAAAGACAGACAGGCAGAAAACTCCAAGGCCACGGCTTTTTTTTTTGAGGGACAAGTCAAGAAATACATGGATGAGATTGAGACCGCCAAACAAGGCATGGGACATTTGAAAGAACTGGACGAACAACTGAATCGAGCCAAGGAAGAACAGGAAGAGCTTGAAAAGGCGTCCAAGGAAGAAGCTATGCGCGTCAAGACTATCATCAAAGCCATGCAAGATGAACATAAAGAAAACAAAGACAAGATCAAGGCACAACTTGATCAAGCTTATGCAGAACTTGAAAAGACATCAAATCAAGCTATACAGTTGCAACAAGAAGTGCAAAAAAAGATGGAAGAGGAGTTACAGCAAGGTTCTGACATTCAAACATTAGAGAAAGAACACCGTGCTTTAGAACAAAAGCAAATGGAAGCTGTCAAACTGGTTTATCAAGAAGTTGAACAACTCAAGAAAAGACTAGAGCAGTCAGAAGCTTCTACACTTACACATGAAGACAATATGGCTGCTGTCAAGGAAGACATGGATCGCATCATGCGTCGTCTTCGTGCGATTGAACAAAACGAATAAAAGTGTCCCTGATCGGATATTAAAATTGAATTCTAATTCAAATACTGTTTTCACACTTCAAATTCAGACGATGTTAGTTTTTTTCTAGGCGAATCAAAATTAATTTCCAGATGCTCTTCTTACCTATTTTGGACAAAATAAAATGGAAATTAGACAGAAAAAGAATTAGCTTTTTGAATGAGTTTACATTTAGACATTTATCTGTAAAGGGAAATCAATTGTTAGAGAAGCAATATCAAAATGACTGGTTATTGTGGTGTTTTGGGACTTTTTAGAAATTATAAAAAAATAAAGAGACTTGTAGGAAGTACTTTGAGACCGTTTATAAATGTTTATTAAGATAAAAGTTCGAGAGAGATTTTTTATATTCTAGGCTTATATATGATTTGGATTATGTCCTTAGATGTAACTTGAGATAGGACTTGATGAGCTGAAGTTTATATTAGATGGAACAAGAGTATTGGCTTTTTCAATAAAATATACTTTGTGAACCATCTTTACAGTTATTTATCATTCAAGATGAGATCTGTTTACTGGTTCCTGGATTACATGACTCTATTCCGTAGGAGTGTAAATGTTGATTCAGCTATATCATTGTTTAGAATGAACTCAGTTTTATTGCTATCAAACTATGACTAGCTGGCATAATAATAATAATAATAATAATATATGACAAATGTTCTTGTTATGAGAAAAGACTTATTTGTGATGATATACTTTTTTTTTATTTAAAGTTATTTATATCAGATCATCAACAATAGTTAGATTGACTTGTCTGTTATAATGTTTTTTTAACGAGGTTCATCTTATTTAAAGAAAAATTAAGTTTTCCATCTGCTCCAAGAAATTGGCCACGAAGGTATAGTCATTAAGTGTTCAATTGATATGGCCATATTGGCCACTAAACCTATCTAATAGTTGGTACCAGAAAAAGAAAGAGAAAGCAGCCTGAAATACTGAAAAAAATAAAAAGAGCAGCAAAACGTCAAAGAAATCAAGCTGAAGTTAATCCGGGGGTAATATGCAAGAAATGTGAACTTTCCGGCCACTCTTCTGCACGTTCACCTCTCTGCTCATTTTACATTACGAGTAAGTCAAATACTATGCTTTAGAATCTTGGGTCAAATTACACTGTTTACGCTCGTAAATTACCTTTTCAAAATTGTGTCAAGGAAGAATATCAAAACATATTGAAGCAGAAAATAACCTCGTGTTGTAGCGCTGTAAGAGAGATAGTGTTTAGAGCCAAACTTTTTGTGAACTGGTATCTTTCGAAAACCCCAAATGAATCCGTATTTGATGGTATCTTTCGGCAACAGTTTTGTTATCCTGTCTGTCAACTGGTGAACAATAGAGAACCTAAAAACACCAAGCTTCTGCCACAAAATTTTTTACAAGAATGGGATAACTTCAAAGCTGGAAATACTAATGCCACTTTTAATGAAGATTTGATTGGAGGAGCTAGCCAGTGCATCGCTGAGGCCTGCAAGGAGCTGACAACTACCTACGAGAATGCAGTTATAGAAAGACTGAAAATATATTGAGAAGATTTTTGCAATATCAAATTCAAATTATGTTTGTTGTAAGAGCTAACAATCACATCCATTTACTCTAAATACTTAAATATTATGCATATAGTCCATGGCTCCGAAGGACGTCGATGACATTGTTATAGAATATGGATATCAATATGTATGCCAAGGTGAAGCGATGTGACCTGAACAGAAATCATGTGAAGACCCTATGATCAAACGAAGAATCGATGAACTATGCCTGCCACTTAAAAACAAACTCGATGTTAGAGTTAGTATAAAATCATTAGCTGATAACCCTGGCTTTTTTGTTCCTCTGTTGTTTCATATACTGGCTGTCTTTTAAAGGGAACATCAATCCCATAAAGCGTTTGACGTTAGAAGACTTCCTTTACCAAGGCTGTTCAATGTATTCCCTTCACCATCATGCCATTGGCAATCAGTGACAATTTCGGTCAATGCATTAGCAGCATTTCTTTCTGGTGAACCACTGCCCAGAGGGTATAATGATCAGCTGCATTTATTTTACAAGGTATTTGATTTTAAACAGCTTAGAACCAAATCGTAAGTACATAGTTGTAAAAAAATATTTTTATATAATAGTCATTTAAATATGTTTACTATTAGGATTGAATCTTTATTACCCACTGGAACAAATAAGAGGCTCTTTGGTAACCTGATCAGATCAGATGGTTTTTCTGTTGATTTTGTTTTTAACAAACGAACAATCACAGAAAAACGTTTAACCAAGCAAATCAATCAAGCTGATCTGATCCTGGATGCTTTTGAGCAGCATGAAGTTGACAGCCACTATTTACCAATAGCCGTAGATCCAGGAAGAAAAAGGGTTTTCATTGCATTTGCTGGTTCAAGTGGTAATATAAACGACTTCAGACAATGTTCCATCAATGAATATTACCACTTGACAGGCTCTACAAGATTCTCAGCAGAGCAAGAGAAGAAAAAGAAAGCATGCGGTATTAAGACGATTGAAACAAATATACCCACCAATAAGACTGCCAATGAATCACTGTATATGGAGTATGCCATTTATATGCTCGAAAACATTAGTCGTATTTTCAGTTTTTACAATCAAGAAACTGCAAAAGAAACATTTTTCTTATACCAGGGTCGCCAACGAGCGCCGGAGCAAATGGTGAAAATGTTGTTAGATGGTACCAAGAAATACAACAAGAAGTCAAGAGGAAACAAACGAAAAAGAGCAAAGAACAAAGGGAAGCGGAAGAAGAAGGGGAACAAGTCCGAAAAGAAGGATAAAGGAAAGAGAAAAATGGCACTGAAAACAACAGAAACAAGGTAAAAAGTTACTTGGGCATGGCTACGATAATTTTCATACTCATAAGTTTATGGTACTTAGAGAAAGCAATTTCTTTCAGTACTGATAGTATCTGGTAGTGGCATGTTTGGGAAGGATTATGTGAAGATAAAAACGGTCCAGACTGGTTTCACTGGTCTTCTATACAGAACGTTGAAAAAAAAAGAGAGGACTGGTGACTTACTCGTTGTGGACATTGATGAATATTTGACGTCCCAAATATGTTCCAAATGTGAAAGTAGGAACTTAGGTAGTATTAGTGGTGCCCGCGGTAATAGTGTTCTCGTTTGCAAGACGTGCAGAACATTATGGCAGCGTGACATCAACGCTAGTTTGAATATGATGAACATTGCCAAGTCAATTTGGAAGGATGAAGGCCATCCAGAACGATTCAAGAGAAATTAAAAAGAAAAGCAATAATCGCCGTAATGAACACGGTATTTCCTTCGGGAATTAAGATTGCTATAGGTAAAATCATCTAACATGCTATTGTACCTTCTCTAACAATTCTTCTCTTTCTGTTCAATTTCCATTTTTATTTCGTCCAAAATAGGTAAGAAGAGCATATGGAAATTAATTTTGATTCGTCCAGAAAAAAACTAACATCGTCTGAATTTATAGAATAGCTAAATCTAAGACAATTTGTTCAATGGGTATAGCATCTTCCTTTTCTTCTTCTTCAAATTCAATATCGTATTGCATGCCTATCTGTCTAAATAGCTGATACAGAACAGTGGTGAAAGACTGAGCATAAGCACTGGATACTATACTATCTGCCACTTGACACACGTTTAAATAAATCGTTTTTTCTAAGGGGTTTTGTTCTTTTTCTTCATGGCGACCTTGGACCAAGGATTGTTCCAGCGTGTGGTAGAGTTCAACAAAGGCATAGTGCTCTTCCTCAGAAGGTCTGTCGAGTAATTTCTCTAATTCAGATATATCATGGACAAGTTGTTTAAGTGTCTGTTGATGGGATCCAATCCATGCAGGCAAGGCTGTCTTTGGATTTCTCCAGCCTGTCAAATGAGCCAACCAGGTCACACCAGCCAAGACAGCCAATCGAGGCATGGCTAAAAAGGCTTCTGGGTCTAAGGACTGGATAGAACCCACACGGATCGTATTCACCTGAATTGCACGATCCAACACAATAGGCAGAACAGTCGTCAATGCATTGCATGTGTCCAACGATAAATTCACTAAGCCAGGCTGACGTGTTGCTTTAAAATGATTCAGATCGTATTCGCCAAATACAACATGAACGTACGCTTCATACAGAGCAGATTCAAACTCAGACCATTGTCTGATCCAGGCTTCCAACAAAGGCGAAAATGAGTCCAATAACTGTGTGTTTTCTTTGGTCTGAAAGAAATGCGTTGACCAGAAATACCGTTGAGATAGAATCCCTTGTTGTTCCAGTGCTTGATGAAGTAAGAGTCTTAACTGATACATGGTATGATAGAGTTGTCCGGCCAAAGGTCTTAAAGCGTTTGAGGTATGCTCCAAGTGTCGTATATGACAATGATGGACCAAAACTTGTGCTGCAAACCAAATGGGTTCATGGAAACGTTTAAGAGTGACATCAGGCATCACCGCTTTTACAAGAAGCCGCAGCGTGTCGAGAAAGATGGCTTGTTGGATATGGACTTGTTTATCTGATAATTCCATGCAAGACTGAGTCCATTGTTCCTCTAATGATTTATTAGCCTATTTTTTTTTTGGGGGGGGGAGATGTTCTTATAGCGCTTACCTGCATGATACAATAAAGACAAGACGTTGTCTTTTCTTAATGTGGGTTTGTATCTCAGATCCAATGGAATAGGATCCATTGTCAAGATAGGAACAGGTTCTGAAGCCATGGCCGAGGATTCTTTTAATTTGAAATCCATGGCTAATTTGACTGTATAAATAATAAAAGGATCTAATGAAGACATAAAGAAACAAAGAAGGAACAAAAATAAAAGAAAGAGAGAGGGAGAGAGAGAGAAACTGTTTAAATAAATGCATGTATTGCCTTATTTTCATTGGTAAAAAAAAACAAGGCTCGCTTTTCGGCTGATGCAAATAAATTGTACATTTGTCTGCTTAGCAAGGAAACAAAAGAAATGCTATTTTTAACAATGACCAATTAAAATAAACAATTAAAAAAAAAGAAAAATAGAAAAGATCCGCGAATTTCTCTATTTTTCTCTTCTTTTTCTTTATATTATGGATCATCAAAAAGGTTACCCACAAAACCCCCCACAATACTATTCTCCCCCTCCTCCAGGACAAGCACAACAATACTATCAACAACCTTATCAACAACCCTATCAACAGCCTTATTATCAACCACAACCACAGCCTCAGACAGTATATGTTCAACAACAACCTCATAGACAAGATGATAATTCAATGTGCCTAGGATGGTAAAGTATTAAAATAAAAAAAAGGGAGGAGAGTTTATTTATCTATTGTTAGTTTGGCTGCTTTGTGTTTCTGTTGTGCTTTGGACGCTATCTTTTAAAATTATAATCATATTCACACACACACACACACACATATATATATATACATAATACCGTCATTTGAGAGGGTGAAGTCGTTGATTTTGAGTTTTATGCTAATGATATCGGTTGATCCAAAAATAAAAATAAAAAAATAAAACGTATTCACGTATTATGAACTTTGGTTGTTTTGTACTTGAAGCTGTCTTTTTTTCTCCTATTGACATTTTACAGACACTTAGAATGACTATGCATTGTCTTTACAAAGATGGACAAGGGCATATTGTAGGTGAGCTCATGGATCTTGATATTGACGAAGAGCTATTCGCTATCAAAACAATAAGTTCTCGTACTCAGTTCCTATTGAATAAACCTCCCGAAAACCTCCACCTCCCTCCCTTTTTCATCCTGCAATGCATCTGGTTGCAGATGAAAGGAGCAATGATATGAGCATAAAGTGTTATGCAGCAAGCGACGCTATATAGTTTACTCCGATCGAGACGAAACTATTTTTGAGCAAATGCTTAATCATTAGGTATTCATGTGCAGACAGCTCTGAGGTAAGTCAAACGTTATTACGAGGGCCCTGAAAGCATCTTTGAGAAGAAGAAGAAAAATAAGTCAGGTCGGTGTCGTATTCTTGAGAAGAAACATAAACAATTTCTTTTACGTTGATGGGAATTCTTTTACTGTTGTGACTGAAGTGGCTGAAAGTTAATTTTTCTCGTAGCACCATTTATGACAACCGAGTGTAATCTATTTACTAAGCAGGCACCATTCCAGCCTGTAGAAGAAAAGATTCAACAAAGGCATCATTGGATTTTGGCCACTTCAGTCACAACAGTAAAAGAATTCCCATCAACGTAAAAGAAATTGTTTATGTTTCTTCTCAAGAATACGACACCGACCTGACTTATTTTTCTTCTTCTTCTCAAAGATGCTTTCAGGGTCCCCAATCTTAATACCAAACATATTGGCAAATATCCTCTATGCATCACAAACTAGCTTCAAATCTACTTGCTTGTCAGTTGCACCCTAGTTTGCTGAAGCTCTGATAATGTACTTGTTGATACAGATTGACTTGCCTCAAGTCTAAGATGATCATCTGAAAAACGGACTGTTTTGATAACTTAGTTGTCAAGCAATAGGGCATCAAAGATTGGTATGTTTAAGTTGTGTTTTAAGCGTTTTTGCTCTGGATATCATATAAAACCTCTTAGCAATACATTTATATGAGATATCTCATGTTATTCTGAGTGCTATAGAACACAAAGAGATAGAGAAATAGGCATCTTCTGATGTAAATGTGGGGTTAAATGGACATAGAACATACCAGATGGCAGTAAGCAGAGATTGAAAACGGAAGACAGCTCTAATTCTTCTGGCCGCCGCATTGAAATCGAGCTTTTGCTGAGAAATGCATGAAGGCGCAGTTATTCGGCTTTAATGTACTGACAAAAGTTGTAAATATTTGCTTTATAATTCTTTTTATATAAAGAATGCAGTGTCTTTTATGCTAAAATATGGAGCAAATATACAAAAATGATTTTGAAGTTTTCTGTTTATATCTTACCATTTTGTACTACAGTTGGCAGATAAACACATTCACCAAAAACCAGAGCGTTTTGCACATATTTTGAGTATTTAAGCATGTCAATAGCTCTCTTTTTCGTCTTGTAAAGACATAGAGATGATCGCAAGTTATAAATTGAGCTTTCTTCATGAGTAGTACCCTTTGGTCGAAAGGCCATTTTGGTCAAATTTTCCAAATCGTTTTTTTTATCCAATTCAACTCCAAAGGTACCATGGATGTTAGTAAACGTTGTTTGTAGGTATTTCAATCATTTACCCGTGTATAAACAGTCTTTATGCTACCTTTATATGCGGAGGGGAAAAGAAGAAGATTTGCAGGAATAGTTGTCTTTTTCGCTGTTGAACCAAATTTTTTGGCTAGTTGTCCCTGCTACATAAATAAGCAATGTACTACCAAAATGCTTATCCACATAAAAATGGCATATCAAAAAGACACTTAATCCATAGTGCTTGGTGAATTTGAGCAACCGAATCTTTGTCGAGTTAGCTTAATTTTTGTGATAGTGTCCAAGTGATGAATAAACATTAAGAATGTGATCGCAGGGCAAATGTTACACATGACATAACATGTAATCATCATGGTGACATACCTGAACATTGCTAATACATTTTTCATGCTCATCATGATTAAATCATTCCTTGTATATAAAGCAGCATTTTTTTTGTCTATTTCTCCTTCTTAACAAAACATGACAAGACAAATTGAACCAATGATTGCTGAAAAAGATCCTTTATCCTTACATTCAAGTCCTTTTCAACCGGACATCATGAAACAGCATTTTAAATCACCACCTCAACTCAAAAACAATTCACCCCCTTTCTCTCCTAAAAACCAATACCAACCCAACACCCGCAGCTGGGAAAACACCATTGAAAAATGTATCAAGAGTATTGTGTCTATCAGCGGATGCCGCACGCGAGGCATTGATACAGAAATCCCTGGATCTTTTACAGCAACAGGATTTGTCGTGGATCCTGAAAAGGGCCTTATTTTATCCAATCGTCATGTAGTATCCATGTCACCTATTAAGGCGTATGCTGTACTTTGCAATTATGAAGAGATTGAATTAGAACCTATTTATCGAGACCCTATCCATGATTTTGGATTCTTTCGTTATGATCCTACTAAAATCAGATTTTTGGATATGCCTGGTATTCCACTTTATCCTCAAGGAGCCAAAGTAGGACAAGATATTCGTGTGGTTGGGTAAGAAAAAAAAAAAGAGAAAGTAGTTGATCTTGAACTGACCTTTTAATCTTACCCAGTAATGATGCAGGTGAAAAACTTAGTATTTTATCAGGCACTTTAGCGAGACTGGATAGAGAAGCACCTAATTATGGTCTGGGTGAATACAATGATTTCAACACATTTTATTTCCAAGCAGCATCCAGTACCAGTTCAGGATCCAGTGGCAGTCCTGTCTTGGATTTACAGGGTCGTGCTATTGCTCTGAACGCAGGTGGTGCCAGTACGTCCTCATCTAGCTATTATCTCCCTTTGGATAGAGCACAACGAGCCCTCCGTTTGCTTCAACAAGATCTACCTATACCTCGAGGCACACTTCAAGCCACATTTCAATACCAGTCGTATGATGCATTATTGCAACTGGGCCTAAGCCGTCATCTAGAGAAACGGTTAAGAGCACAACAGTCGAATGAGGGTCTATTGGTCGTCAAATCCGTGCTGCCTGATGGCCCTGCCTTTGGTCATTTAGAACCCGGTGATATCGTCTTAACCTGTCAAGGAAAAGTCTTGAATCGCTTGTTTGTGGATCTTGAAAACTGTTTAGATACCGCTGTAGAAAAAAACGAGCCAGTTAGTTTCGTCGTGTCGCGAGCAGGCGATATTCGAGAAGTCAACATGACAGTACAAGATTTGCATTCAGTCACACCTTTTCGATTCCTAGAGTTTGCAGGTGGTATTTTGAATGATCTGTCGTATCAAATGGCAAGATCGTATGGTTTATCATTGAAGGATGCAGGTGTTTATGTCGGCATGTCTGGGTTTATTCTCAGTACAGCCAGAGCCATGCGTGGTTCCGTAATTGTGGGGATCAATAATCAGCCTGTGCGATCCTTGGATGAATTCGTTCAGGTCGTGTCCCATATCGAACAAGGGAAGAGAGTACCTATTCGGTATTACTCATTACAAAAACCTATGAAAGTCAAGGTAATGATTGCTCATATTGATTGGCGATGGCACAAGTTTCGAATAGCTACACGAAATGGTAAGCAGTATATATTTGCCCCCCCCTTTATTGATGTGTTGATAGATAAAACGGGTGCTTGGGACTATCAAGTACTAGAAACGCCTTTACAGACAATGCCTTCTATCCAACAAGAGACGGTCCTCACTTGTACTGAAGAAGACAGAGTGGCTCAGTCAGCGCAAGACCTTTGCAAAAGTATTGTCTCTGTGGATTGCTTACCACCCTTTATGGTCGATGGTTCCAAGAATGCTCATTCGTATGGCGCTGGTGTCATTGTCTCTATGAATCCTCCCCTGATTGTCTGTGATCGTGATACAGTGCCCATGAGTATCAATGTGATTTCTGTCACTTTTGATAATTCAATCACTATTTCTGCTGATCTCTTGTTCTTACATCCTTATTATAATTTCGCCTTACTTAATTTTGATCCTGCCCCTGTCATCAATGCTGGTATTGATATCAAAGTGGCTCAATTAGTCGATCAAGACTTTAAGTTAGAAGATACAGTCACTTATGTTGGTTTATCAGGTAAGGTGTATCCCTATCTCTGCTTTTCTTACCTTAGCTATATAGGCCGAAATGAAGTTCAAACCAAGAAAACAACGATTAATAACCTCAGTGCTGTTCGTACTTCAGAAACAACACCTGCTCGATGGAGAGCCATGAATGTAGAAGCCTATAAAGTAAGTGACGGCAGTCTATCCAGTCAAGGCGGTTTATTTGCAGACGATCAAGCACAAGTCAGAGCCATCTGGATGAATTTTTCAATTGAAAACGAACGACGTGAACTCTCTAGTATCTTTGGTGGTATCAGTGCACGCTTGATCTTGCCTGTTCTCCAGAAAATCAAAGCAGGCCAATCACCGATGGTCCGAGGCATGGATGCTGAATTCTGGTCGTTGCAAGTCTGTAATGCCAGACTGGTAGGTGTCAGTGACGAATGGATCCAAAAGATCAAACACAAGGCTACAAAAGAAGGCCGTCAGCCGTCTGTGGTCTATGTACTCGGTGTCACGGATATCTCTACGCCTTCAGGTCAACTATTAAAAGCGGGAGATATCGTCTTGGCTATTGATGGTCAAGTACTTTCCAGTATTTCAGACTTGAGTCAGTTCCATGAACAAGACACATTAACTATTGTATGTAAACCCCCCCCCCTCATGATGATGTAGAACGCATTGACTCACACATGTATAGACATTGTTAAGAGATGGTATAGAGCAAGAAATGCAAGTACCTACCACACAACATGATGGCAAAGAAACCACTGAGCTTGTGGGATGGCAAGGCCTCTTGATCCAAAATACGTATAGAGCAGCTAAAGAACAAGTACGTACACAAGTACCTGAAGGTGTCTATGTGGCTTCTTGTCTGTTTGGTTCACCTGCTCAAGCTTGTCTTCGCCCTGGTATTTGGATTACGCATGTAGGTTCATCTTCTGTCAAGACACTGGATCAATTCCTTCAGGCTGTCAATAACAAGACAGTCTATCAGGCGAAACCTACTCAATCCATCAATACCTCACATCAGTTACTTTCACTGCCTACACAAGAAGAAATGGACGAAAACATGGCTTTCCAAGACGATGCCACACATCTCCAAATCAAGTTTGTCACGGCTGATAATTTAACCCAAGTCAAGGCACTTAAACTAGACCATCATTATTGGCCTACATGGCATATCAAAAAGAACGAAAGCTCTCCTCTTGGTTGGGACATGTCCTTTTTATCTTAATAAAAACGTATTTATTTACAAACTAGTTAAATCCACCAAATCAAATCTTCTAGGCTTAGGTTGATCAAAAGGAATAGGAAGGGTGGCATCACGTTCATAAACAATACCGACTAATCGACGTTTAGGATGTTGTGGATCTTTGTAAAAATGAACAAATCCAGATTCAAGTGCATATAGTGTATGATCTTTACCCATGCCCACCTAATTCAATGTGAATAAATTATTGTCATGAGTAGCAACTTACATTGTCACCAGCATGGAATTTAGTGCCTCTTTGACGAACAATAATGTTACCAGGAATCACTTCTTGTCCACCAAATTTCTTGACACCCAATCGTCTACCAGCTGAATCTCTACCGTTACGGGAAGAACCACCCGATTTCTTTGTGGCCCAACGTACTTGATTGAGCTCTACTCGGATAAGCGAATGGACTAGGGTCAATTCTGTATTTACCTGTGGTATTCTTTAAACAAGGTGTGATCATGGGACGAGCATTATGGACAGAAATGCTCTTTAAAGGTGTTGAATTCAACTGTGTCCATGCACGACCTAATAACGACATGATGACAATAAAAAAAAAGAAGAAGGAAAGAATAGCCTGGAAGTTGACAGGGTAAAAAAAAAAAAAGGCTTTTTAGCGGAGATGGAATTTATTTGTCTAAGAGACGACAAAGGTATTGATAATGACATTGTTTTGCTTCAGCACTATTGGCATGTTTCCAAAGGTAAGGATCCTCACCATAATTGATTTCATATTTTATAGCTCCTGTAGTAAATGGTACATAAGGAGTGAAGATAGTATGATTACCGAGATAAACGAGTGCTACAGAATAGTTAAACATAGGTAGACAGACTAGAATATTACCTTGAATCGATCCATTTAAAGTCAAACCTACTTCATTGGTTTTGTGTATATAAAGCATACCTACAGTATCGCCATCCTGAATAACAAAATCAAATGAGTTTGAATGAGCATGTTCAAGCACAAAATAACATGTATGTTCTTGTTTATCGTATTCAAAGTAAAACACAATGGCTGGATTCAAGCTCTTGAGACCAAAGGCAATCAAGCTATTCCATAAGGTCATGATTTGGTTATGATCTAATGTTGCTTACCTATGTGTATTGGTAAACACGTCTTCATGATGTTGAAAGAATCCAAGCGTGAATTCGAAATAAACAGAAGGTAATGGCTTTTTGTAAGTATCCACCATTTCGACAGACAATGTATGTGCCTTATCAATATAAGACGATAGACTAAAACTTGTTTTAGGCACATAATCCATAAACCCTCCTCCATCCACAGGTCGAATGTTAGGCTCCATATTACCCACATCTTCTGAATGAAATGTCATTTTCTCTAAAGCCTTTGTCAGATCAACAATATCATGTTCATCTGATTCAGTCATCGTATCCAACTTGACAAAGTGAGGAGGAGGCAATTTCATATTCACGGGCGATTGAAGTGCTAATTGACCCACAGGCATGTAATCTTTGGGTAAATAACTTAAGGGATCCATTGACCCACCAAATTGAAATTTACATTGCTGACCCGTTGCTAAAGAAATAGCCTATTGTCTTATGTGAGATAGATGTATGTGGCATTTTGTCACTTACTGGATACCAGGATCGAGAAGACATCACGCCTGAGAAAGCAACACCCATATCATGGCCATTTTTGTAATACCGAATCTCGCCTGCATCTAAATCAATGGCGCAGGTGATCACATCGCCTTCTGCCCATTTCAAGCCATAACTTGTCTTGACACTCGTAAATCGACCATGCCATTTCTTAGATCGATCACCATCATACCCATACGAGTAAATATCATCACCTACACCTTGTCCTCCTTCGGGATCAAATTCAAAGTGCTCCGTCACCCATCCTACTTGCATTAATCCACTGGACTCCAAGACCACTTCATAAGCATATTTATGTGTTTCATTGGTTTCGACCACAGGAGGAATGCCATGCGTGGCTCGTATCGTCTCAAATGTCCATGATTCGTTGCGCACTTGACGCCTATTTTCATAATTGACCAAGCAGTATTTCGACTTGCTTAACAAGTCAAGTTCAACAAAGGCAGGATGGTTATGATGCACTTGTTTTTTACAGGTATGGTACACATTGCCTATATAATGACTACAATAGACAAGAACCAATCGACTATAGAACACATAGGACTTCTTTTTGTTGGCTAAAGGTGCCTTCATACCTCGCCAGAGTAAAATGGCCAGTCGCTGAAAATTCGATTCATGTATGGCTACATGAAAAGGATCACTGGCAAATAAAGTGCCTAGACAGACCATCACTCTGTCTGTAAGACTGCTATGGTCTTCATATAGATAAGCCAGAATGGAAAGTAAAGGCACTTCTTGGATCAAGTATTGTCGAATAGTGGCTATCTCTTTGTTAATCAAGTTATCATAGCAGGCATACATTACCATAGCGTGAAATCGAATTCAAGACAGTAAGGGCACGATTGGCAAATCCTCGTTTTCGATTATCGCCCAAGCGTTCAGCGGTTGTTTCTACTCGCTTTCTTGAAGGTAAAGGGTAGGCAGATAGGACAGGATTATCTTCTATTTCAGAATCTGTACTACTATTACTACTGCCACTGCTATTTTTGTTGTTGTTGTTGTTGTGTCGAGTATACTTGTGTCGATGTGTCTTTTTATAATGAATACTGATAAACCCATTTTCTTCACCGCTTGTGTCACTATGATCTGTGGATAGATGACTTGAAGGCGAGAGTTCAACATGAGTACGAATCCATTGAATCAATGCATGATACAGTTCATTTGCTTTTGTCCCATCCAGCTCATGAACTGGATAATGGGCATAGAACAAATGTGCCCATGTGTCCAAGACAGGATACAAAGACAACCGAATCAAATGCTGTATCAAGTGTCGCACACTAGGAGGCAAATAAGCCTTTTTGTACTCTTCTGTCAATGTAGGATAACTCTCGCCTGTCACAAGGTAACTGATGATTTGGTCATTTTCAATCAAGATGTTGAGGGCAGACAATGCGCCTACCAGTTGGTTGCGAGCCGATAAAGGCAGCTCAAATGCTGCTAATAGGGATTCACGTTGAGAGATAGGGATGGCCGTATCAAACAAATACGCCATGTCTGTCCAGGATGAATTGGTGTCTGCTGAATGATGTGTGTGGCCCTTGTTTTCAAGTACGCGGTCAAGTCGAGAAGCATTAGAGATAGTACCTTGTTCTGTGACATCGACATAGTCTGGTGTACGAGGAAATTCTTCATCGTCTATGTCTGTGATGAGGGATCTAGTAGGATTCTCGGTCTCTTTTGACTTGTTGGCTTTGATCAAGGCTTGTGTGATAATGACAGGTAAAAATGACTTACAGATCGTATCCAGAATTTGAATCAAGGGCTCAATCACTTGATGATTCACTTGAGGCAATAAGAGTTGATCTATAAAAGTATAAGTAAAAAAAAAAGGGGGAAGTGTAAAAGGATGTTGAATGATGAAGTTACTTTTGATAGCCAATTCAAGGGTTCCCTTTGCACAAGTAAGTTGCACTCGTTCATGGGAAGCAGAGACAGTCTGTTGAATCAAGTTTTTGAAGCAAACATCTCTTATTTTGCAACTAAATGCATCTAAAAAGCGATTGTCAGTTATGTTCACCATTAAAAACAGATAAAGTTACAGGTCATGGTCATCACATTGAAAATAGCACCGGCAGCATTGTATTGTACGTCCAATTCTCCTTCTGTAAGTAAATCATTCAATGTTTTGGCAATAGCATGTAAATTGGGCTCCATCAAGGTATGATTGCTGGCTATTCAAATAAGAAATCGATGAAAAACACAATTGACTTACAGATACAACACACTAAGGAAAGTATGTCTGATATAAAGATAGCCACCTTGATCTTGGTAGACAAGGCTAATTCCAACAAAATTTCAAACTCAGGAGCAGAAATAATATCTTGATGAGATTCTACTTGCCCTGCCACGACATGAATACAAAGAACAGCCCAATACCGTACATCTTCATCGTCCAATGAAAGGCAATGCATAATTTTCTTCACAATACCCGTCCTTACCATCTCTGTTCGAAACTTGTCTTGTCCAAAAGCCATGAATTTGATGATACGCAACACGACTCGAGAGATATACATTTCCTCAGCAGACAACAGACTTGATAGAATGGTATGGATTCCCTTGATTTCTCTAAACTTGTCTGCTGCTACATCTTTCAGGACAAATTCATGCATAAGTCCAGCAGCCCAATAGATCAATTCGACATCGTCTCCTCGAAGACAATTAAAGATCAAATCCACAATATTGTACGATAAGAGTTCTGTCAAGATCTTTTTGGCTTCTGTTACATCCACATTGGCTGTGATGCGGACTAGACTCTGCAAACAGAATTTAGGCATATTGGTGTTACCATAAGTCATTCTGGCCATCTTGGCTAATAAACTAACAAACCCATGATCAATCAACACTCTTGGTAGTGGATCTAGTTTTTGTCAGCCAATAGCCTCATTGCTATGCAATTCACTTACCACTCAAGGATATTTGGTACAATATCATAAGTGTCCAGTATTTTAACTCATTATTTCTAATTTCCTCGGAAGAAAGAATGCGTTTGATGGGTTCTAATACACCTAATTCTAATATACACTGTTTGTTGATGTCTATTGTAGTATCATATAAGCATGGCATCACAAGGCTCAAGGTGTTATTTACCACTGCCTTGAATTAAATCACAAATGGCCACTGCCACATACCGTTGAGTGACTTCTTTCATGTCTGGATCTGTACACTTTAATGCATCCACTAACACACCCAATGCACCTGCTTCTAGTAATGCTGTCTTGTTGTTCTCTATTTTATCATTTAGACAGCAATAATATGGTAACAACCTTGCCTTTTCTTGTTAATAATTGTAAGGACGGAAGTGCCTTGGATCGAATGTCAATAGGCTGATGTTTATCGCAAGCATCAATGATCTTTGGTAAATAATGGGCTATTGACTGTTTAATCTAAATAGATGCCTTATTACTGTTATTTACCTGACATGGCTCTTTCTAGAATAATCTTAATTGAACTAATAGATACTGATTAGATTCTAAAAAAAAAAAAGAAGGGAAGAATTATTCTCTTTACCTGCTTTGAATATTCACATTATGAGATTGTGTTAAATAAGCTAAAGACTTGAGCCTAATGGCTATTTTTTTTTTTTTAAAAAAAAGGAAGATCAGTGACATGTTGTTAGTGCACTCTAATTTACAGTCTTCCAACTTGGCTCCTTGTTTATTTGAGTTTTTATAAGGTGTTTTGTTTCGATCGTGTAAAGTCTTTAAGTGTGAATAAACTGAATAGCCCATGAGGGCAACAGCCATGCCTGACAAGAAATACATGACTGCTGGTAATGAGTCACGATTGGATTGTCTTTGAGGATGCATCGAAGACAACAAAAAAAAAAAAAAATAAAGAAAAGAAATGAAAATGGTCGGTAGTTTTATTTAATTTTGACATTTAAAGTGTCTCGAATAGCTTAGTGTAATATCGATTGCATTGATCTCTCAAGTTCGTTCGATAGACTCTATTTTCTGTTGTGCTTTTTCTTCAATAGAATCTTGCTTAATTTGTTCTCCACTGACAGGTGCTGTCATACGAGTGAAATTTGGTTGTTCTACGATATCTTTAGCACAAAGCATGATACCAAAAGCACTGAATTCTGTCTTATTCACATCATTTGAACTGGATTCATGTGGGTTTACTTGACATTTGCTTTCTTGTTCCATGTTATGTATATATAAAAGCAACAAAATAACCGAGGTTAAGCATGAATTTATATGATTCAGGAAAAAACAAAGGATGTGTCTCATTATGATTTACAGGTAAAAATTCTTTTTCTTTCTTTATTTTACTTTTCATGATGAATGACAAGATAGAAGCACCTTTTGGTGTGGTGGATATGGGATCCAATGGGATTCGATTCGGTATTGTGAGTGCACTGGCTCGTCACTTACCTGTTGCCTATGAGGAACGTGCACCTATTGCATTGTTAGAAGCTCAAGGAGACGAACGCATCATCCCTTCTGACGTGATAGATCAAGTTATCACCAGTTTTTTGCGATTCAAACTACTCTGTCAAGATGCAGGTGTGCATCATGTCCGTGTGATTGCTACAGAAGCAACGCGTATTGCGGTCAATGCACAAGAGTTTTTGGATCGCATCCATCAAGCAACAGGTTGGCAAGTCTCGTTATTGTCGAAACAAGAAGAAGCCTTAATATCTGCTTCGGGCATTGTAGGTATGTATACCGTAATACTTTATGTTTTTATTGATGCCATGGCTATAGGTTCTTTTCATCAGGTCAATGGCTTAACCATGGATTTAGGTGGTGGTTCTGTGGAAGTAAGTTACGTCATGATGGATCCGCAAGCCATGCGTGTATCACCTCATCCTGTCTCGATGCCTTTTGGTGCCGCGGCACTCAAGCGAAAACTAGCGCAATGTGAATCGGAAGAACAAGTGAGAGCCCTGTACGAACAAGTGGTAGCTGAACTTCAAAAGGCGCATGATCAAGCTCAATTGCCTGAATCCTTATGCCACCCAGATGGCTATGATGTCTATATGAGTGGAGGTGGATTCAGAGCCTTGGGGTATTTGTCAATGGCTGTCAATGCACAAGATACGCTATTACCACGCCAAAGTACGAATCGGAAACACATGTACCCTATTCCTATCATCAATGGCTATTCTATCTCAGGTAAAAAACTCAAAGCATTAGCTAAATTCTATCGCCATAAGCAACCTGAGGAACTGATCAAGAAACTCAAGGTGTTCCGTATCTCCAAACGACGTGCAGGCATGATTCCTGCTTCCTGTTTCTTAGTCTCGGCGATTCTGAAAGTATACAAGATCCGTCGTATCTATTTCAGTGAGGGAGGTGTACGACAAGGCTTTTGTTATCAATTGCTGTCGACAGCTGAAAAGCAAAAAGATCCCTTTTTAGAAGGTGTCAAGGCATACGCGGCTCAATCTCCATTTAGTTTGTCAGAGACAGAATATGAGGCCATTGATGCTATTCTTGTGAATGCTTTACCTCCTATCTATCTAGATCCTAAGCATCCTTTACAGTTACATCGTTTATTGCCTGCTGCTATCCATCTCTCGAATCTCACTTCGCATTATCCTAAAGAGACGCGCGCCTTTGTGGCTTTTCATATGCCTTTAGCAGGTGGTCCCTTGGCCAATGTGCCTGGCTTATCACATCGTGAGCGTGCTATTTTATCGATCCTGTTAACTTTTCGACAAGGTGGATCTGTGCCTGATCCTATCTTTTATGCCATACAGTCCTTAGTGGGTCGTCGTGGTGTCTCTGTGTGTAAATACATAGGTCGATTGATGGAACTAGTGTTTGCAGTGTCTCCTTTACGACCTGGTATGAGTCTCCATTCAACAGGGCTCTCATTTACCACCATTCTACCTGATCAACATCAACTAAACCATAAAGAAGAACCCAGTAGTAGTGGTAGTGGTAGTAGCAGTAGTGAATTAGAAGATGAAGATGAAGAACAAGAACAAACAGTAGAAGAAGAAAAAGAGATTGATTACTATCCTAGTATGCAATTACGCATTCGTTTACCTCAACATCATTCACCTCTTATTGATGCTCCTGCTATTATGTCTGTGATTGAAAGCATAGACAAGAAAGTGAATACCAAAAAGTTTGATATGGATGCAGAACATCGACCTTTAAAATGTCCTAATCTATTCTCTGTTGAAGTGATGAGACAATAAATTTTTTTTTTTCCTTTTTATATATATATTTTTTTACTTCATGACAAGCCATCAACCACCCTTGATACCCAATATAGTTGCTGTTCAGTTCCTTCGACAAGCCAGTACTATGCTTGACTTGTAACTATGTCCCTAGTGTTGAATAGGGATGATTAATATAACTATAGGCCTATACGAACTACAGCAACAGCTGTTATGTATTATCACCGTTTCAAGACATGGATGGATCACAAAGAAAAAGTGATTCATTTGGATGGCATGACAGAAGAAGAAGCATTGTATCAGAATGAAGAGGCAAGTGAACATCATATAAACTGTACTGACATCAACTTAGTTATTAACCACTACTTGCTTACAACTGGCTTGTAAAGCAACAGAAGTACCCCGCAAAGTACGTGATCTCGTCAATGTAGGCTATCGATATTACCATGCAAAAGAACCTACTTTAAATATTGATGAAGTAAGTACTTTCTGTCTAGTACATGAACTAATGGAACCTATAGAATTACTTTAAAATGAGATCTTCATTAGTCACCAGTGAACTATTACTTGTGCGTGCTTTAGGATTTGATTTGGAAGTCGAATTACCTTTTGCGTATTGTCTAAATGTCTTGAGAGGATTAGGATCCATTCGTTATTTTGTGACAGATGAAAGAAAGCATACCAAACGTCATCCAGCACAAAAAGAAGTATGGAAGCGTATGGAGAATGGTAAGTGATATGCATTTAGATCTCTTCATAACAAGGTAGACATGGATCCTGAAATGAGTGCTATTGCTCGACTGGCTTGGATGTATGTATGGGATAGTCTTTTGTCTCCCAAGATTGCATTGACACATGCTATTCCAAGCATTGGTCTTGGTTGTCTTTACCTTGCACTACAAACATCCCAAACAGACATGCCCATGTCCATGAGTGAATATGTGGATATGTGGGGTGCCTCTGAAAATATCTCTGTTCAAGCTGTACGTGATGTAGTGATTGATTTATTAGAATTCTATCAACATTTCCCTTCTACCATCTCAACACCCAATACAAAAATACCAGTAAAGAAAACATAAAGACTTTATTACAAGACACCCATCTTTTCTAACTTGTGACGATCTAATAGACTATGTTAAGCCAATAATTAACATAATGGACTTACGTGTGCGTCGAACATCGGTTTCTTCAGCTTCACTATCTTCTCCATCCATATAGTCATCCATATGGAAATCCCTTGGTACTTCTTGAGATTGTACAGAGGGAGCAAATGGCAAACTTCTTAGGTTATCAATGATTTTTGAACTAATCTGAATAAGCCAACAATATATATATATATACACACACACACACACAAATGGTGCTTACATAATATGATCTAAATACTCGCGTGTGTTATGGTTGGTCATGTTATTCGCTAGTACATCCAACTTGTATTCAGGTCCATAATACTCAAAGTAATTGTTGTATGGCAATTCTTCTTGTGTCAAATCTTCACCTACAGCCAATCCAGTCTCAAATGTCCATGTTCTAGCCACATTACGAATCGTATAGCCACCACCACCCACCATCATCATAGGAATATTGAATGACTTGATGAATTCAACACAAGAAGCATGGCCCCTCATTGACAGATTAAAGCAACCCAGTCTATCTCCAGAGAGTGAATCACCACCACATTGGAGTACAACAGCACCAGGTCGATACCAGTCCATGACGTGTTGAATGATTGGCTTGAATACACTCTTGTATGTCTCATCATCAATACCATCTCTTAAGGGCACATTGACTGCATATCGTTTACCATTGCCTAATCCCGTATCCTTACAGCGTCTGATGAGTCCAACAGATGGGATTCGATAACTTACCTTAATATCGCCTGTGCCTGGAAAGAATTCACCAAACTTATGGAATGAACACGTCATGACACGATCTGTTGTATAGAAGGCTTCTTCCACACCATCACCATGATGAACATCAATATCGACATACAATACGCGCTGATGATATCTCAGCAATTCCAAGATACCCAACACGATATCATTCACATAACAAAAACCAGAAGCTTCTGTCTTTTTAGCATGATGAAGACCACCAGACCAGTTAATGGCAATATCTGCTTCACCATTCAATAGCTTGTTAGCAGCACCTATAATGATCAGATTTGATTCGTACATGTATCCATACCAATTGAACCACCAGCAGAAATAGAACAGAATTCAAATAGACCTTCAAAGACAGGACAATCTTCTCCTACATTGACTAATCATAGAGTCAATCAATAGACATACGACTTGGAGTAACTTACATCGTGCAATGCCTTGCTCTAGACCACCATGTTGCATAGCGAGTGATTCTAAATTATCAGGTGTTACTGTCTGTAGAAAGTTGACATATTCGTCAGAATGAAAACGAGTCATTTGGTAAGCTGTACAGCGAGTAGGTTTCTATAGGGTTTGATCAGTAATCATCACTCTTTCATATCCTATACTTACCACAATATCTAATTTCTTATAAAGACCATAGTTGACTACCATATTATGAACCATATGCATACGCTTGGGTTTCATGTAATGACCTAAACAGAGAATATAAGCATATCTATTTTTTTTTTTTTTTTTTTTTTTTACCAGGCCCATAATTGAAATTGCCCACATCGTCTATTACAAAATATGAGTTATATCATCCTCCCCCTCATGCATAGTGATTGAACATTACGATCATAGAAATAAGACACTCTTCTTTTGGCACAATTAGCTAAACTATAGGAATTCGACATGTTTTCTCAAAAGAAAGGAACAACCTGTTTTATTTTTTAAACGCGATCAACGTATACATATTTTTAAAACACCGCATCAATGATGGGAAAGATCCATTAAATCCACTCTATTCTCTCGACTTTCTGCTTCAGTCACAGCCAATTTGAATTCTTCAGCCAATGGACCTGTGGATACTTCTAACTCAAGATGATCAAAACGAGGTGCTATCGTAGGATCAGCCAAGGGATGCAAGGCTACAATACAACGTAAAACAGCACGAATCAATTCTTGATTCTTTTCTACTTCTTGTTTGACAGCATTACTTCTCATCTTGAATTCTAAAGTAGCCTTGAATGGAGTCACTAAATCATCCAAGCCTAGTCTTTGTGTGTTAGTATCAGAATAAACACGTACTTGCTCACTTACGCTGAGCAACAACCGTAGGTGTCACTTTGCTTAATCGAATCAGCATCAAATAAGCCAACATTTTAATATCATGTTGATCATCAAGGCCAACACAGATATGGTCCAAGAAACCATAGACATCAATCTTGTCTAAACAAGTACTTAACAAGGTATACATACATTCATAAGCAGCCTATATGTATATATATATAAGTTAACCAAGTTTACGAAATAAGAAAGTTACCTTTCTGATCTCAAGACCATCATCCACTTTGTGCTTAAATGGACCCATCTCGACTGTATGAATCAATTCTTCTTTCACCACTGTCTCTGCATACAACAAAGGAATCAATGGAGACAAGATGTCACGAATCAGATAAGGCTTACGATGCACAGCTGAATTGACTGTCAAGAGAGCCAATCGTTTGACATTCTATTTTTTTTTTTTTTTAAATACACATGACTTGAGAATCCCACTTACTAGATCTGTGTCTTGTAATAGCGTCAAGAATTGGACCATTATAGGCTTCAATAGTTCATCATAAGCGACGGATGGATCCACAACAGCATACTTGATTGCAGTAGCAACCGTAGCCCGTACATGAGCAGAAGGGCTGTTCAATCGATCTTGAAGTTGAGGTAAAAACTTGGTAGGATGCGTTAAGGCTAATTTACCAAGACATTCAGCCACCACAGTACGTGTGCCTTCTTCTTGATCGCCTTCACTGCTGCTCAATAACAACTGCCAGACTTTATCTGCTGCTCCAGCTAAAGTGTTGTCGTGTGCAGTATCATAACGTGTGATGATCTCCTTGAGTGCATGCAACAACAAGTAACGACGCTTGGGTTCTTGTCTGATTTGATCCAAGATGCTTGGGAGATACGTCTGCATGTTACCCACGCAGATATTACCCAGAGCAAAGGCAGCAGCAAACTTCACTTCTTCAGATTGAGCAGAGAACAAAGCAAGTACATCAGAGGCCATCTGGTCAAGTCGGATACGACGACCAATTTCACCCAAGGTCAACAAAGACAAGTATTTGATGGAATCATTTGTAGCAGGCTGTTGAAGATAGGATTGGAATTCACGTAAGGTAGGATCACGGTGAGATGAGTCTATATGAGCAGCCAAGACAGCAACACATTGAGCTACAGTAGAAGCAGCTTGTTTGTTCGCTACAGCAGCAACACCGCCTGCAGAGACACCAGATGTCTTGACATGCAACAAAGGATCCACTAAACCCTTGACTAAAGAAGCATAGTCTTCAGGACTTGCCTTGACAAAAGCAGTCAACATACTCAACAAACTATTGAGGGCAGATCCTTGAAGTAAAGGAGACTCAATCAATCGGAACAACAAGGGCACAATATGCATCTTGACTTGTTCCACCGTGTCAGGTCGCACTGTCAACATGGACTCGACTGTCTTAAGAGCCAAGGGCAAGAGATGGAGATCATTGTCTGTGACCAAGGGCTTCAGTTCAACCAACAAGGTCACAAAATGTTCATGTCTTAATTGAGAACCAAACTGATCAATCAAGACTGTCAAACATTCCAGACTGGCAATCCTTAAAGGACGGTTACTTTTACGCAGCAACAAGGCAATATCGTCGATGGCTAATAAGATACAGCGCTGCAGTTCAGGTCCTGCAGCGACAGGGCTTCGTGACACATAAGTCAAGGTACGCACACTGATCAAGCGAGTGACTTCATTTCTCAGTCTTTCCAACAGTACATCCCATGCCTCCCTTTGTTGTGCTTGGAGTACATCGCCTACTTGAGCCAAAAGAGCACCGAGACACATAATGGATCGTTCTTTTACTTCTTGATCAGCATCACTGGTACTCAAGACACGCATCGTAACATGGTAGATTTCAAACAAGTAGGCCGTATGATCAGGTTGAGCTTGAGAAGCACCCATTTCAGGCACAATAGGACGAATGACCTTGATCAGCTCAATACAGACCAAGAAGGCTTCAGAACTAATCTTGTAAAACTTGTCAGAGACAGACTGGATCACAGCAGGCGCCAAACGAGGAATAAAAGAGCGAACATGGTCTGCTGGATGATGATGGAAGAACAAGCGCAAGAAATACAAGATTTCAATCTTGAGATTAGAAGAAGATTGTTGCTGATCTGTAGCTGTGGTGATCAAAGAAGATTCAATAGGAGATACAAACAAGTCCATTTGTTCTTCAAGACCACCATGAAGCACGACAATGATTTCTCTCAACAGGTGAAATCCAATTTGACGTGTTTGTGGGGATTTGGGTGTCAATTGTTTCGCAAGTGAGCGACACAACTTAGGCACTTGAGCGCGTAATAATTGACGAGGACCTTCTGAATGATTTGTGTCTTCTGCATAGACATTGGTTTGTCTAAGGAGAGCAATAAAAGTTGTCAAAATATCCACACGCACTGATTCTTCGCGTTCCTTGAACCGAAGGATAAGCACAGGAGCCACTGTCTCATACAATTGGTCCAATAGATCAGAGCGTGTCTCAATAATAGCAGACAAGACTTTGGAAGCTGATCGACGTACTTTCCACGACATGTCGTCATCATCATCATCGAAATCATCTTGTTCATCATCAAAGTCATCATCTTCTTCCAGATCCATATCCTCATTGTCTTCATTTTCCTCATTGTCATCTTCTTCCACAAAATTAGGGTCATATTTGATGTAATTTAAACAGAGTGACATAATGTCTTGAACAGAACTTGTCATTTCAGTAGGACATCGAAGAATAAAGGATTCCAAAGTCTGTAAGCAGATCTCTCTTAATTCGTCATCGTCATCTGCTTTAAGCGTATAGTCAATAATGATAGGCACCAATTCAGTCAAATGCTTGCCAATACGGGTTGCACTTGAACGACTCAAGACACCTGCACATTGGACCAAGGTTCTTGTCTTTTCATTGACTGTGTTGGTGCGTAATCCTTCCACAAGGTAACCATACAACTGACTAAAGAGTTCATCATGCGTATGGACGACTAAATAGCCAATAGCAATCGTCACTCTCTTTCTGACTGCAGCACGGTTATAAGAAAGTAAAGGTAGTAAGGCAGCTTGAATCTTGGTTTGTTGAGCTACAGATATCTGACTACCAAATCGAGACAACATTTCTGATAAAGCATCCAATGTATCCATCTGCATTTCATAGGAAGCATCACTCTATAAAAAGATTGTCAATGCAACACTCAAGGAGTATGTGTTACCTTTTCCATAGTAGCCAATAAATGAGGAATAATGCGTTCAGAGACTTGATGACCTTTAGTAACATCGACTTCCATCACGACAGCTTTCAAACCAATACTAGCAATGCCACGCAATTCTTCATTTGTCTGTTGAGAAGCATATTGACAGAGGCAATCAATGATTTGCAACAGATGGTTCTCATTGATTTGCTTCACCAAAGGACCAAGACTATGTTTGTGAATACGACTCTTTTGTGCGTGTCATCTTACCATTTGACAGCCAAGTTTTGAACTTCGCTATTCTTATCATCCATCAGTTGCAACACAGCCTTTACTACTTTACTCTCAATCATGGTTTCCATTTGAAAAGATTCTTTTTGAAGTTCGTTCATCAAATCATTCAGAGCCATATAACGAAAATCCCTGTCTTCGTTACTCATCTAAATAAGTGTCAGCAATAAAATGACATTCTTACTGCTTACTTTTTCCAACAAGTTGGCAACCATATACGCGTTTGTTCCTTGCGACATGATATATATATGTATAAAAAAGAAAAAAAAAAAAAGAAAGGACACGCGTTAAATTCATAATCGCATAAATTTATTTTTTATTTAATCCTTCCATTCTACGCCAAATATCTTGAGGTGGATTGGCTTCCCATTGTTCATGATCTGAGGCTGTATAAGTACTTACAGGATGGTCTGCTTCTTGCTTGTTGTATTCAAATAAAGGATAACCACGCTCATGATCTCTGTTGCTTGTCCAGCGAGGATTGGCTGTTCTGGTCTTTTTGCGGATACGGCGTCTATACCACCAGACACCAGACACAATCAAGAGACCCCCCAATAGACCAAAGCCAACACCCAAACCAGTGGATTTCTTGCTATCATTCTGAGGACGATATGGGTTATCCAATACACTCATGTCATATTGAAAAGAAGAGAATGAAGTCTTATTAAAGTTGGGAAGATTGAATTGACAAGAACCAGCAGCCACTGTATCATCTGTGGCCTCAAATTGATTTACCCATTTCCATTGGTTGAGATCAAGGATATAGAGTCTTTCATTGTAATTGTCAGTATCTGTTTTGCCCATCAAAAGGACCATATAGTTATTGATATTGATAGCACCGTGAGCGTACAATGAGCCAGGCGCATTGCCACCCACTGATTTCTTTGTCCAAGTGAGTGTACAAGTGTCTAGCACATAGACATCATTGGATGCAGGTATATGTTCATTAGTGTCTGTGTACACTGCACCTCCATAAATTACAATGGATCTTCCATCCAAGCCTAGCCAGTATCAGTATACATGTATGTATCTATATCTCTTTACCAAGTGCAGTGGAGAACCTATATACACACATATATATATATATATATATATATATATATATAAAAGGAAGAGGAATGAGTCATGCGTATATCTCAACATAAATCGTTACAATTGTCTTTGTTCTGGAATATCACCTAAGGTAGCAATAGCAGCAGCCGTATTTGTTTGAATATCATACACTAGTTAGAACATAAGAACATGACTCATTGACTCCATGGGATTACCAAGGACACTAGCAAAGTCAGCTTGTACTTTAGTCATACTTGTGTTGGGATAGGTTATACCACCCAGAATGAATAACTGGTTGTTGCTTATTGGATTATAAATGCATATTATATTCAATGCGTTTACTTACATCATACTGGCTGAATGAGCAAATCGACCAGGACGATATGCGTTTGGATAATTGGGTGTAATCTTTGACCATACACCCGTCGCTGTATCAAACCGAGTGAAATCAGCAGTCTAACGTTTAAATGAGTAGGTGATTATTTCTCGGTCTTATACTCTACAGCAGAACTATTGGAATTTAATGGCTGACCACCATAATAATAAGCAACATGGGTGTTTGCATTCACCGTGGCTGTCATCATATAAGCAGGTGCAGGACGATCTGCTGCTATTTGATAGGCTACTTTATATGTAAGCAAAGCAACATGAATCAACAGAATACTTGCGAATATCCCAGCCATCAGTTAAGGGTGAATATCGCATCATGTGTTCCATTTCTGTACTGGTTCCATTCCCGCCCTGGACAAACACTTGTTGATTATAGCCCATAAAAGCAACACCTCGTTCAAAAGGCTTTAATATACTACTGTTGGCTAAAGGACCAGTACGTGAAAGCCATTCTGGCTTATTGACATCAATGCCATTGGTATAGTTCAAGATAGGCACTTGAAGTGAAGTCTATCGATTGACTTCAGTATTTGTTAATTCTAGAGTGTACTTACCCCTGATCCACCAATAATGTAAGCATGTTTGTTTTGAAGGATAGTAGAGAAATAAGCGCGATGGTCTGATGCTTGTTGGGCTGAGATCAAATTTGTAAGGAGTGAAAAGAGAACAATGCTCTTCAGTATCATAATAAGAATAATAAAAGGAAAAAAAAAAAGAAGAGAAAAAGACAGAAAACTGGTGTCTATAAAAGGAGGGGAATACAAGGGTTGCACGACATCTTTATCCTTATGAAATGCTCACGCTGGTTTATATGTATGCGTTCTCATTGGATATTGAAGGATGTATCTTAGAAGTATTTGATAATCCAAGTGTGTTATTTGCTATAGAACAGCAACAATATCAATCTACTCAATCCATTTTGAGAACATGGTTTATGGTTAATGCAATAAAGGCAAAACATGGATGTAGCTTATTATTCCAAAAAGCACAGACAATACAGTAAATGATCTCCATATTGCATGCTAAAATAAACTCAATACGTCACACTGGCTTTTACTTTCATGCGCATTCTTCAATTGAAATTATCCATTCTATATGATAAAAATAAATCAAGAGACGGTCCCTGAAGTTTTTTTTTTCTGTATTTGGATAAAGCCAATTAAACAGCGAGTCTGGGTACCCGTTCTTAGACAAAATATTGAGACTGCGATAATTTATCTTCTACTTGAGGAATCCATTGTTCTTTCCAAGTTGAATTGAGATAAAAGCCACTTTAATGAATGCTCTATTTAAGATCTTGTTCTGATTCGCTGTGTCAGGGTCTTCATGCTGTCGTCTGTTACGCAGCACCTTTCTTCATGCACTCTAATTTCACCAACAAGTGATAAGTGCATATTTTCAATGTTTTCATTTCTATATCTTGTTCCTAAGGAATGACATTCATGACAAATCGGCTTGTTAAAAAAATAGGCTTGTCTAGGAATAGATGTGATTGGTTTAAAAGAAAAAAAACTCTTTAGTAAAAATACGGTAACTTTTTTTTTTTTTTGATTCTCAGGTGAACAATCATTTTTTTACTGCTTTTAGCTTTTCATGATTCTATTATTGAAGCAAAGAAACAACAAGATTTTCATTATCTCGTTCTTGCAACATTAATAAGTAACGGGTAAATACGCTTTTCAACTTAAATTAGTTCTTTCCACCGAAAAAAGCTAATTGACAGGTGAACAGGTACAAGTCAAATTTGAATAAACGACTGACTTAAACTCAGACTCGCCATTTAATAAGTCTGGATAAATAAAGAATTTGTTTCAGGTAAATAAAAATAGCTTCATACTTTATTATATTTTTTTTTCTTTTCTCTCTCTCTCTTTTTGTTTCTTTTGAATATATAAAATGAAGTTTTCAACTGTTGGTAAACTTTCAATTTATGTATTACTTGTAGTGCAACTATGTGTTCATGTTGTACATGCACAATCTGACATATTAAGCGGAATTGGAGAACAAGTTACCAGCACAACAGGAAGCCAAGGGGGCAAGAACAATAATTCTGTCTCTGCCCAACAAGTATCTGAGGGCAATTCTGCTGATGTAAATACTGATAATTCAAACAATTAAAAAAAAAAAAAGATACTAAATAATTTGACATAATAGGCTACTTCACAAGAAGCTAGTAAACAACAAATTACTACTACTACTCTTATCACTACTACTACAGCCGAACCAAAAACTACACAAGCTCCCACAACTACTGAAGTACCTATCACAACTACAACTACTGAAGTACCTGTCACAACCACAACTACTCAAGTTCCTGCCACCACTGAACAACCAGTCATGACCACAACTACTGAAGCACCTTTGACAACGACGACTGTCAACCCTACCACTGATCCAATGACTTCTACAACGACTGATCCTGTGATTGTTTCTACGACAACTACCACTAGTTCTGCTGCTCAACAAACTTCTATTTCAAGCAATGCTCCTTCCACTACTTCAATCATAAATTCCAGTGCATCTTCATCCCTACCAACTACAACCAGTTCAAGTACACAAGGATCTTCCACTGCTTCGACCTCTTCTTCCTCCAGTACTGCTAACCCCTCTTCTTCTCCAGTCAATAATGATAGCGGCAGTACAACGAATAAAACAGGAGTTATTGCTGGCTCTGTCGTAGGTGGTATTGTAGGTATTGCTTTAATTGGTGGTTTGATTGCTTGGATTAATCGTCGTGGTGGATGTACTAGTCGATCCAACAAACGCAAAGATGAATTTGATCAAGATGATTATACGATAGATATGCATCAAAACGACTTTAATCATACAAGCGCTAACGCTGGTGTTGGTGCTGCTGCTGCTGCCACTACAGGTACACTAGGCACTACAATTGCATCTACGGAACCTCTTTCTCCCTTTGATAATAACCGTCGTTATCCTCAAGCCAATTATGGAAATGAACCTTATGGTGATTACCATGAAGCATACAGTCAAGCAGGTTATAGTCAAGGAGGATACAGTCAAGAGGGCTTTAGTCAGGATGGTTACAACAACTACGTACAACCTGAATATGGATACTATGATGCTGGTAACAATTACGCCAATACTGGTTATGACAGTAACCGCCATGAAATTCCTGATGGTAATATGTATGGCTATGACCCTGCCTATCAACAGCACTACAACATGGGTGATCCCAACATGTCTGAAAATGCTGGGTATGCTTCTCATTCAGTAGATAAGCCCAATGTAAAGGACTTTGGTAATAAGCCAAACGAGATGTAATCCTTTTATTACTGTCCTTTTATTATTTTCCTTAGAGATCGCATACATTTATATATATATACATGCAATATTTTTTTTTAATCTTGTACTTTATCCTTCTTTTACATACTCTTAATCATAATGTATACAGACTCTCATTTTTTTTTCTTGAATACATTATTTTATATTTTATCTATTTAATTAAAAAGTGGACAAAAACTCAAAAGCTAATATCCTATTTGGAATGAGTGAAGACCTTAGTGCTCGTGTTTATTGAGGTTTAGTTGAACGAACAGAGAGAGCGTAGAACAGATTTTTGTCAAGAAAGCACATCAGTTCTATTACATTATAAATGTATCCAAATGTTGGGTTGAAGGCATAAAATACCAGTGGACTGAAACAGACTATACTTTCTATTTTAACAACGTGTATTGAGAAAATATTTTAACCATTGTTTTCACTAAAGAATATCTAATCGTGTACGTTATTTTATCATGCCAAAAAAAGAGCTTGGAAAAAAACAAAAAGGGCAACAAGCGTGTTTCTTGAATTCTTTAGTTAGAAAGGGTGATCTTATATAGTTTTATAACAGAGGTCATCGACACTGAATAAGGCTTGCTCAGTAATAGCTGTTTATGTAAACAAATAAACTCTAGTTAGGATAATTAAGTGCACTATGATACATAAAGCATACGTTTGTTTAATTGATCCCAATTTGAGCATTTTATTTGAAGGAACATTCTGTTGATAGCTATTTTCTGTAAGCCTACTATGCTGGTAATATGATTCGAGATAAAATTGATGAAATCATATAACAAAGAATCAATAGAATGATACGTTTACGGTGCTAAAGTGTGAAATATGGTTTAGTGATGTAAGTAATAGTTCTGGACAGATCGATGTATTTCTGGTTAATCTGTTGTACTTTGGACTTGTGATGTTTTGATAATAGAGAGTTATATGATAAGATAATGTAGAGACAAAGTTAGATACTTTGAGACTGTTTTATACCATTTTATTGTTATCCTTTTTGACTATAAATTATTCTAGCATATTTATACATGAAGAGATGTCGGAGTAAGTAGTAGTAGAGTTCATGCAAATGACTGAGTCTCTATTATCATAGACTACTTTAAATTAATTAAATAATGTAAATTATGGATTTCGGTTATACGTCTTGATCTATTAAAAGATACATTGTCTTATTCAGTACAAGAGGTTCTTTTATGTCTATTTCTTTTATGTCTATTTCTGATGTAAGTTGATTATGATATACACCAAACGGAAAAATTATTCGCGCATTTCTGAAAAAAAGATGTGCGTACTTTTAAATCGCACAGAAAAAAAAAATAGCATACGAAAATGAATAACATTATTTTTGAAGACGGGTTAGGAAACCAACATGACATTGAAGGAAACGAAGTTGTAGAGTTTGAAATGGAAATTGACGGCGAGATGTATCCAGTCGAAAGTGTAACAGACTACGATAGATACACAGATTTAAAGCCTCCCGAGAAAGGGATCAAAAAGAAAGCTGAGTTACCTGCAGAGCTGAAGCAAACACCTGCGAGAACAAAAGCATATAAGCACTACAAGGATGCTGAAAAAGAAAAGTTTTTTTTTCTTGTCGAAGGAAAAAGGCTGGGTAGCCAAGAACAACAAAGATCCTCAGGAGTATATCCAAAGGGCTACAGGCAATGGAAGACCTGTAGGCAGACCGCCCATTTTAACTGATGAGCACAGAGATTTCATGATCGAATGGGCAGACGAGAACACAAATTCCGTTACATTGGACGACATGCTTGACGTATTGACAGAAAAATTTGGCAAACTCGATATCAGTAAAAGCGGTTTCAACAAGTTTGTCAAGGATAAGTGTAAGATTACCTTCAAGCAGGCTCGTTTCCAAGCTTTCGAGAGAAACAGCCCTGAAAAAATCGAAGAGCGCTATCAGTGGGTGAAGAGATGGATGAAAACAGATATGGACTTCACTAGCAACTGTGTGTTCATTGACGAAGCTGCTTTCCATATCAACCTTAAGAGAAATTTCTCTTGGTCCAAAGAAGGCGAGCGTGAGATCGTGAAAGTGCCCAAAACAAGAGCAAAAACTACTACCATTTTGGGTGCCATCTCGCCTTTTGGTGTTGTTAACATTAGTGCAAGAAGGCCAAGAACATTACCCTCATCAAAGAAAAGAAAAGCAGCAGGAGGTTCGAATGCAAAAGTGGCCAGTAACAGTGGACATTACTTCAATTTCATCAGTAGTGTTTTGGATGTTATGGATCGTCATGAGGAATTCCGTGGCCATTATTTGATCATGGACAATGCTCCTATTCATAAGCATCAAGATATTCAGAATCTCATTGAGGGCCGAGGCTATAAGTGCATGTACCTCCCCCCCCCTTACTCGCCTGAGCTTAACCCATTGAGCAATTCTGGTCGGTTTGCAAAAGCAAACTCAAGAGGGAACAGCTTTTAGAAAAGGAGACATTGACTTCGAGAATTGCAGATGCTTGCAATAGAATTTTGTACAGTGATCTTAAAGGCTTCTGTAGATACTCTGCTGCCAAATTTGAAGACTGCCTTCAACGCAGACCTATTTAATAAACTCACGCATTTTGCGGATACACAAGCATGCTAATTTTTTCTGTGCGATTTAAAAGTACGCACATCTTTTTTTCAGAAATGCGCGAATAATTTTTCCGTTTGGTGTAACTGAAGACTGGTCTTGAGTATAAAATAGTATAAATACTGTGAGGCAGAGAATACGAATGAATTTCATCTCATTTTTTTAAAGGCTTTCATCTCATTTTTATTCTCTGCATCACAGGTAAATAGTATATTATGATTATTATATAAATAAAGGATCTCATTCTTATTCTCTGAATCACAGCTGAGTTTAATGTAGGCTTCGATAAGCCACAGACGTTTGACTTAAGTGTGACCGTATTCAAACGCCTTTTTTTTTTTCATCAGGATGTGTAGCCAAGTTTTACATTTTTGATATTCATTCTAAAACCATAGCGTGTCTTTTTTCTTTGTCAAAGTGTAGCAACTTGTCTGTATCCCCCAAGCTTCAGCCTTTTGGTTGGAGGATTGGACCAGGATGTGTAGCCAAGTGTTACATTTTTGATATTCATTCTAAAACCATAGTGTGTCTTTTTTCTTTGTCAAAGTGTAGCAACTTGTCTGTATCCCCCAAGCTTCAGCCTTTTGGTTGGAGGATTGGACCAGGATGTGTAGCCAAGTGTTACATTTTTGATATTCATTCTAAAACCATAGTGTGTCTTTTTTCTTTGTCAAAGTGTAGCAACTTGTCTGTATCCCCAAGCTTCAGCCTTTTGGTTGGAGGATTGGACCAGGATGTGTAGCCAAGTGTTACATTTTTGATATTCATTCTAAAACCATAGTGTGCCTTTTTTCTTGTCGAAAAAAGGCAGCAACTTGTCTGTATCCCCCAAGTTTCAGCCGTTTGGTTGGAGAAGTTCTTACAATCAATTACTTAAATCAGTTTTCTTCTGTAGAAGCCGTCCTTTCTAGAAATCATCTAAAAGTTACTCTAGCAAACGCATCTAACACTAACAAAAGAAAGAGGGTATGTGAAGTTTATGGTTTTCTTGTTCTGCTCGGACAACAAATTATTTCAACTTGAAAAACTAGCTTAGCAAGTTACTTATTTCGTGATCAAATGGCAATATCCGAGAAAGAAAGATCTATAAGTATCTCAATTTACATTGGCCAATAAACAAGTGTAGGAACTACAAGGAAAGAATGTGACATGCGAAAAAGAAAATAAATGAAATATAAACCAAGCACTCGTAGAGAGGCTTCCAGCGCCTATCGCTGTCTTTAAATCAATACCTGCATTGTGTTGTATTGTATTGGAAACGAAGAACTTTTTATGCGTTTGTACTATTGCTATTTTTGAAACACAGAGATATTCAGTAAAACAAATGGTGCGCTGTTCCTTTGCTTTGTATGGTGTTGATTAGAAGTCCGTTACAAAATGAGTGATTATTTTTTCTTTAGGAATAAAGCAAATAAGATAAATATACAAATTTTTTATTAGACACGCTTTGGTGAAAGCATAGTGTGAGGCATGTCATCATATGTCTTTCTCTTGGTTGTTTTCTCACTAGATTCCAAAAAAATTGCATTATTTAAGGAACGCAAGGACGCCTATAGTGATTGCTTAGTTTACATTTCAAATGCGACAATATATTTAAGCAGACTCACTTTGATTTCGAAGATGGAGAGAAGAAATCTCTCCAATTTTGTTTGAATTAGTCTTTGATCATATGGTATGACCAAAGTAGCTACCTTTTTTGCCACATAAAAGCCTTCTTTTTCATACAATTGGCAAACTGTGCCCGACCAGCCTATAATGCAAATATGTTAGTAACAACAACAAAGTACAGTCTTCATCATGTATTACCAGACCAAGTAATAGACATAATGTCTTTTTTCAAATCGAAGGCAGACTTCACTGATTTTTGAAGACATTGCGTTAATCTCAACGTCTTTGATTCTTGATGTTGCAGAGACTTCTGGCTTGCGTTTCTTGTCTTAAACTCCCAGAAAGAGAGCTCCTGGTCATCGTCACCAATAATCTTGAGATCAATTTTTCGTCCAGTGTAGTCTTTTCTTCTTGAAGAAGAAGAAGAAGTATGAGCAAGAAGGGATGAAGTCGATTTAGAGATAAAAACACTGTCCTTGGAATTTGAGAAGCTGCTCTCATTGTATGTTATGGATGGTTTTGTTGCTGCTGCTACAGTTTCTCCAATTGCTATCTTCAGGTTTGTGCCACGAAATACGATTTGAAACAATTGTTTTACAAAAGCAACATGATCGGCTTTTTGGACATGATTGTTGTTGTTGTCTTTCATCAAAGTGTTAATATTATCGATAATTTTATAGGCCATTGCCTCCAAGGAGCATTCTTGTTCTTCTTCATAATCAACTCTTTTCAAAAGTATATACTTTCTTGCTGCTTTCAAGTCACTTTGAGCACGTTGAGCAAAATCTTGAGCAATTTCTTTGAGCTTGGCTTGTTCTTCTTCAGTAAGCTCGTTTTCTTTTTTCAGGTTTGACCACATGCCAAAATGATGTACAGGAATATGCTGCTTGAAATATTCAGCAAAATCTTCATCAACTAAATCTATGATTCTTGAAAGAGAAAGCTTCAAGATATTCTGTTCAATACAACTCAAGTCATTGTACTTCTTAAGAAGGCTAAGACTCAACTTGTCAAGCAATGTGGGGACTTCATCACCATCATAGGACTCAAGAGCTTCGATTGTTTCTTTCTTTTCCTCAAGGAAGGCGGGCAGATCTTCACTCTTCTTTTCTTCCAAGATATACATCCATTGAAAGAGAACAGATCTCAAGTCGTTAGTGCTATATGTCTATAGACAAGCTTAGTAAGAAAGAAATTAAGGATTGGTGAAATGCATGGCTTACCTTGAGTCTTTTCCAAATGTTGATATCACAAACAATATGAGTTCCCACGTTAATATTTGGTCGATGTCTCTTTAACATAGAGGTAAAACGATCTCGCCATTTTACCATCAGCTGTCTTAGTGTACAGTCTTCGCTTTCAATTATATCAAAGTGTTTCTCAATAAACTCGTTAAGTGTAGGGTTATCGGCAGACTTCACATACAATCGTAGTTCTATTTTTTTTTTTTTTTTTTTTTTGATAAAATTAGGTTTCAAACTATATCACAACTGTCTTTACTCACCTTTTGCTCCAGTATACATTGTGAATAATAAAGTTAAAGTAATGAAATGAAAACAATAGTAGAAAAATAATAATAATAAAGGGAAAGGCTTAAAGAATTTTATTATTTCTACTGATTTGTGACGACTTGAATATTCATTATTTTGTCATTATATAAATTTACGTGTAACCAAGAGTGTAATTCTTAATTACAACTCTTTCATTCACTTTCATTTCTCCCCATTTCTCTCTTAAACTTCTAAAAAAACACACATACTATCTCAAGACTACTTTTATAATTATCACTTTTATTACCAGCATCGCTTGGTTAGTTTTAATTATAATTTGCAATCATTAGTTACAACTTATTAACAAACAAATAAAGTTGGTATTATTCTTTTAGTTAAAACAACAGTCCACAAATCAAGGTTTACTACGATACTCCGAGAATCAGATGCTGACGTCACTTTTTTTTCATTCCTATTCCCTTTCTTCCATTTTTCATTTTTTTTTCTTATCTTTCTGACAACTGTACATCAGCAGGATCAAGCAAATTATACGTAAGGCAGTACTCAAAAGAAAAAAAAAGCCATTGACTAACAACATATTTTTTTTTTTTTACGACGAACACTCCCGTCAAAAGTGTGTTGCAAACAGAAACTAGCTAAGGTTTTGGCATCGCAAAAAGCGGACTTGGCGACGTGGCTATTTTTCTTAGCTGCAACGCGACACCCCTCCACGTTCATAGCTGAAGGACTTAGAGAAGGCTATGGACCTGGTTGTCCGTAACAGTTCCAGGAGCTAGGCAGCTATCCTTGCTGCGACACCCCTGCCGTTGATTGTGTGGTGCCGTACTATACTACGGTGCTGCCTTTGGACTGCTGCGAATGGGATTGTGAGATGCCAGATGGAGAACGGACTTGGCGACGTGGCTTTTTTTCTTAGCTGCAACGCGACACCCCTCCACGTTCATAGCTGAAGGACTTAGAGAAGGCTATGGACCTGGTTGTCCGTAACAGTTCCAGGAGCTAGGCAGCTATCCTTGCTGCGACACCCCTTGCCGTTGATTGTGTGGTGCCGTACTATACTACGGTGCTGCCTTTGGACTGCTGCGAATGGAACTGTTTCTGCTTCATCTTGTCGTTTTGGGTAAAGCATAATTTCAAAATGATTCATGGCTCTGAAGAATGATTGACAATTTCAATAAGCTTCAACACGATGACATCTGATCACCTGTTTAATCGAACTTGTCGGAAGCTCAGACACAGACTGCCTTGGTTTAATACATACTATATCGTTTGTTCAGCAACAGTTTAGACAAGCTCAAAAAACAGCCAATCTTGAATATGATAAGCTCTCTAAATAAAACGCGTCAGCATGAATAAATATTTTTTTTTATGTCTTCTCGACATGTTTCTACTACAAAATGAATTAGTCCTTTTAAATCTACACATCATGTACCAGTCTTTTGTTTCTTTTGTGTTTTCTGCTCCCTATACTTGAGAGTTCTAGCTTGAAACTAACGCTTCTAGACGATATTAACGAAATATAACTTACACATTGATAGCATCTTAAGCATCCATTCTATGTTTCTGTTACAGAGAAAAGGTGAATATTTAGTGTACGGAATAGAAATAGTTGTAGAACTGTCAAAATGCAACGTCAGTGCTTGATTTATAGTTGTCCAACTTTTGAATAAGGATATATAACATAGAAGTAAAGTATAAGAAAGGCAGATTACATACTGATAATGCTTCAGTTCGACTCAAAAGGATCATGTTCAATATTCAACAACAAAGGTATCATGATTCAAGAGCCCTTTAAGGAAATAAGATAGTAACAAATATGTTTCGGGAATGATACTCAAAAGTAAAAGTAAGGTAAAGTTATAAGCAAAGACTTTGTCGTTTACTCAAAGAAAATCGAGGAGTATTTATAAGATATTTTACAACGATAAAAGCTAAAGAAATTATCTCCCTTTCTTTTTCATTTTTGTCATTACATGATGACTTTACAGTAAGTGTTCTCTCAAGCCAAAAAAAAAAAAAAAAAAAAAAAAAAAAAAAAAAAAACTGGTAACAAGATATATACCGAATTTGATTTTTTTTGTAGCTGGCAAGAAGTTCAGATTAAAAGAGGATTTGAAGGAAGCTATTTTGGCTTTTGGAAAAAGATTTAATACAGGTTTCTTATGCATCACTTCCTATTGGATATGTTCAAGCTGAAATTCGCAGAGCGCTGGATAGGGGGGATAGTTCATATAAAAGGGGCGGCCCTGAAAAATACAAAGTGCATAAATGTATTAATGGCGAATACTCTGGTCACTCCAAGAAAAAAAAGCATCTTGACAATATCTATTCTTTCCATTTTATTATGCATTTTTTTCTCATATAAATGAATCATTTATTTGATAAATTACTGGTTTTTTGGTGTGACAAAATAAACATGTCTATTGTGATAAAATGATCTGTTAGAAATCATTTTTTCCTACGGTACGATACAATGTTTCAGCCTAAATGTGACAGTGTTCGAATATCAGGTTAAAAACAAGTAATTTTGTTTGAAAAAAAAGGCTCTTTCTTCCTTTTCATATCTATTATGGACACTTCAAAGTTCTTTGAAACGCAAAACGATCTAAGCTTTGAAAACTATTTCAGAACGACGCATGAAAACTTTCCCAAAGATTCATTAGCTTCAGCACGCTCCATTTTGCACGACTATATCAAAGATGTTAAATATCAGCAACGGCAACAAAACCATGCGACTGCACGTTTAAAGACATCATATAACGTAAGTTTATTATATTTTCCCGGGTTGCCACAAAAGCTACTAATGATTGTGTTGAATAGGATGAAGATCTAAAGAGATTGATTCAAGAGAATTCTAAACGTAGCAACGACAATGATCATTCAACAGTCTACAATAATTACATCTCAAATAATACCATTGAGCAATTGAAAGTTGAACAGGTAAGCTAAATACTAGCACAACCACTGGTATTGCGATGAATAGCTGATTTTGTATGTCATAATAAACAGAATAGAATAACACAGGACAAAGTTTCATGTGGCCAGGTAAGTAATATCAATAGTTACATATATCTTTGCGTTGCTTGTATGACATATTTACGTTGATATATAGAAGCGTTCTAGAGAAAAGCCCTCGACATCAAAGCCTGAACAACCCTTTACCTCAACGCAAGGAAAAAGAGATTGCAGACGTATTATAGCCGAGGATTTTATAAGTTCTGAATTAGTTACTGATGATGTAAGTATAGCGCTATCGTATATTAAAGCTTCTCTACTAATTTCTCATCATGGCATACAGGATTCCAATAGTGATATCACTACTTCGCAATCGTCATTCTATCCATCTGATCTTATGAATACACCTGTTGGCTATAACTGCAGAATCGATATGCACGAGCTTGAAGATGTTCCCTCCACTCCTCTTCCTATCCGCAATCCAAACTTTGCTGCGTTAATAGCTAGCGCAAAGAAAAAGTGTGATGAAGATAAGCTTTTTCCTACAGACTGCCTTTCCCGTCTACATGCGTCTGCCATTTTTAAAGCTGATGGCCCTTTCTCTTTAAGCGATGATGATGATAATGATACTGATGTCTTGCCAGAGAACGTCTACAACAATATCCGTGCATTTAAAAGAGCAATGCAAAAACGCATACTTTATATTCAACCAAATACATCCGCAACCTTGGAACAAATAGCTCTCAACAACATCATCACCTCCACTTACTTGTTGCACGGCAGACCGAGAATCAAAAGCAAAGGATCAGAATTGAACCTCGTTGCTTCTTCTGTTTCTACCTTCTTGAGTCCGCTGTTTTCTGCCCATGACCAAATCCAACTTGAGTTTGATACCACTTCCTGGATCTTCAAACAAGATGGCGTTGAAAATGTGAGCTTGCGTCCTGATATCATCTTCAATTACCAGCAATTAAAAGAAGTTGTGGAGATAGGTTGTGGAGAAGTAAAGAAGCCCGGTGTTTCCCAAGCCTTACTTGATGAAGACAAAATGCGCGTGCTTGAAGTGATGAAGCGTCAGCTGCATCTTCGCCTGTGCCGTGCAAGGAAAGAATATGAAGCAGTAAGCTTTGGTGTGCTTATACAAGGTAAGATCATGAAGAAGTAGCAGTATTTTATGTCCTGCTTATCATGTTTATTTACAAAGGCACAAAAATCATACTTTTGAAAATGAAGCTTGATATTGACAAAGGTCTTTACATGTATTATGAACAGCAGCCATTTATCTTGCCCACTACGAATGACACCTATGCTCATATGGAAATCGCCTTGGAAGTCATCACTAAGTTCAAGGTAAATATATAATCAAAGCAAGATTGTTACATGTTACTCACAGACACATAGGAACAAATGTTGAATTCACTTCTAAGAGTGGAAGACTATGATTGTGAGAGCATTTGGAACCGATATAAGCCTTATGTTCGTCCCACGGTGTCTTCTTTTGAACCTATTTATTACAAACAATAAATATGTATTATAATTTCTTTCTTCTTCTTCTTTTTTATTATAGTATATAAAGACATAGTATAGTTATTCTCACTCTGATTTCTTCTTTCTACATATCCTCAGCATGTATACCTTACAAATAAGCCTCTCTGTCCAGAACATGAATGTTGGCATTGTTATCCCAACTTAATTGGAATATACCCTTAGAATACAACTACCATACCAACTTCTCCTGAGAGATTCTATACACAAGCAACTTGCTCCTTGCATTTATCTTTCTTCAGCAGATACATTATAGGAGATGCTTACAATTGAATCAGTCAAGTGTGTTTTGATCTAAGGACTCTTTTTTTATTTAAACTCAGTAAAACGCGAACAGACGCGCTCTTCCATTTGTACGACACGCGATAACAATGTGTGTCTTTCCTCATAGACGCGTTTCTTTTCTATGTCGTACCAAGAAAGAAGATTGACAACAATTGATTTGTTGTGTATGACATTGGAATCTGACCGGGTATTTGGATTGAACACGTTGGTTCTAGAACAATAAAAACAAACTTCCTTTTTTTATTTTTTCTTTCTTCATCATGAACAACAATGTGGGACCACCACCTTTACCACCTCATGGTACCATGTATCTACAACCAACACAACAAAGCAATGGGAGCTTTTATGCTGCTAACAATACACCTGAAGACATACCTTACTTTCAACAACAACAACAACAACAACAACAACAACAACAACAACAACAACAACAGCAACAAGTAGTCCATGAACCTGTTATACCTCATGATGGCGACTATTTACTAGACAGTTCACTTCAAATGGCCATGTTGGCAGGAAAAAGACGTCATGAACGACTAAACGCACCTCCTGATCCCGACTTTCCTCCCATTACAGTCGACAACATCAACAAGTTACGCTTAGAATCCAAACAAGGCGATGCTCGTCTTCAGTTCTTTTTTGCTCGTTATTTGTTATATGCCGTCGACCACTTGAGACCGAATGCGCAAGATCCAGAACGCGCCCGCCAACTAAGAGATCACTTGACATCAGAAGCGATTCATATGCTTAAGAAACTCGCATCGTATAAATTAGGTTATCCAGACGCTCAGTTCTTTCTGGCCAATGGGTATGGCGGTGGTCTTTATGGTCTTAAACCGGATCTCGATAAAGCGTTCAGTCTCTACCTTCAAGGATCGAAACAAAACCATCCTGAATCCATTTACCGTGTCGCTGTTTGTTATGAATTAGGACTAGGGACCAAGAAAGACCATCGATACGCGATGCAATTCTATCGTAAAGCAGCCAATGCCAGTGATCCTTCGAGTATGTATAAGCTTGGGTTGATCTTGTTGAATGGTCTGTTGGGACAATCCAAGAACCCAAAAGAAGCTGTCTCTTGGTTCTTGCGTGCTTCTCAAGTAGCTGATGAAGACCATCCTCAACCACTGCATGAATTAGGCCTCGCTTATGAACGACAACAAGATCCATTGCCGTCTATCTTGCCTGATCTGGACTACGCCCGAGAACTGTTTAGTCAGGCAGCACAACTGGGCTATGCTCCTTCACAATATAAACTAGGGTTGGCGTATGAACATGGCTATCTAAACTGTCCTGTAGATCCACGTCGATCCATTGCATGGTATTCAAGAGCAGCTGAGCAACAGGATGCAAGTGCAGAATTGGCTTTATCAGGATGGTATCTCACAGGCGCAGAGAATATTTTGGTTCAAGATGATCAAGAAGCGTATTTATGGGCAAGGAAAGCAGCTGATCGAGGATTGGCTAAAGCAAGATATGCAGTGGGGTATTATGTAGAAACAGGTGTTGGTGTCCCACAAAACTTGGAAGAAGCCAAACAATGGTACATGAAAGCAGCTCAACAAGGCGATATCAAAGCAAAACAACGCCTTCAAGTCTTGGACCAGTCAAATCCTATTAAAAGAAGACCTACACGCGATAAAAATGGGAAACCCAAAGATTCAGATTGTCGTCTCATGTAATAAAAAACGGTCCTGTTTAAAAATTCTCTTTTTCTTTTTCTTTATTTTCTATATAATGGCAAGAACAAGTAATGACGATGAAGAAAATACGTTTAGCCATGATTATCGTTCACAACAAAAAGCAAAATACTATACAACAAACAACAGTGTACGATTAGCTTCACACAACAAAACAAGAGTAGCTTATTTCCACGATGAAGGTGTTGGTAATTATCATTATGGAGTAAGGCATCCAGTATTACATTCAATAGGGTTATTAACACGGTATAGGAAAGACATCCTATGAAACCTCATCGACTGACACTCACCAATAATCTTGTACTCAACTATGGTCTTCACGATAAAATGGAAATATTTCAACCTAGAAGAGCCACAGACGACGAAATTCTCAACTTTCATTCCTCAGACTATGTTGATTTCTTAAAGAGGTACGCTTCGAACACAACAGACACAGTCTATTAAATCTGTTGCTAGAGTAACACCAGACAATGCAGACCAATATGAAGACTTGTTTCAAAGATTCAATGTAGGCGACGATTGTCCTATTTTTGACGGTATCTATGATTTTTGTCAACGTTATGCAGGAGCAACCATCGAAGCTTCTCGTAAACTGATTGCGAATGGTGCAGACATCTGTATCAATTGGTCCGGTGGTCTTCACCATGCGAAAAAGAGTGAAGCCAGTGGATTCTGTTATGTGAACGATATTGTGTTGGGCACATTGGAATTATTACGGTATTTTCCCCGAGTGTTGTATATTGATATCGATATTCATCATGGTGATGGTGTTCAAGAAGCATTTTATTCAACAGATCGTGTCATGACTGTCAGTTTTCATAAATACAACGGTGACTTCTTTCCGGGAACAGGTCATATTGATGAGATAGGGACTTCTTTAGGCAAGTACTATTCAGTCAATGTGCCCCTTAGAGATGGTATTGACGATGAAGCCTATGTCTGGCTATTTAAAGAAGTGATTGATTCGGTCATTGAAGCATTTCGACCCTCTGCCATTGTACTTCAATGCGGTGCTGATTCTTTAGGGTGTGATCGACTCGGTTGCTTTAACCTGAGTATCAATGCGCATGGCAGGTGTGTCAAGATTGTCAAGAATTACAATATTCCATTGCTTGTGGTAGGTGGTGGTGGTTACACTGTTCGGAATGTCGCACGATGCTGGACATACGAGACATCGGTTTTAGTGGACACTACGTTGGATGAAAACTTGCCCCCGAATGAATACATTGATTTCTTTAAACCAGATTATAAACTGCATCCTGATCTTAAGGGCCGTGTGGAGAATCAAAATGACCGAGCTTATCTGATGCGCGTTCGGGAGCGTGTGCTTGAGCAACTTAGGTATCTAGATCATGCACCGAGCATTCAGATGCAAGAAATACCGCCTGATATTCAGGGGTTTTTAGATGGTGAACAAGAGCAACGAGAAGCACAAGAAGATTCAGAAGAAGGAAAAGACAAAAGATATGCAACGCGACTTCATGAAGCTGAATGGTTTGATGATGAACAGGATCATGAAGCCTGGTAATAAAACTATATACAACATTGCATGAACAATGAGTTGAAGGAAGACTTTATTTATACTGCCTGTATTTCATGATGCAGCTATAATGTTAAAAGTATATGTATCTGTCAATGAAAACTATGCGTTGCTTCTATCTACATATTGCTCTTGATATGTTTTTTTTCTTTGTGATTCTTGTTTGATGACGTCTTTTAATACAAATAATATCATTGCACGTCGACGAGAATCTTGGCAGTAAAAGGGACAATATTAGAAGCAAAACGACCAATTTAAAGGCTAGAGCAATTGGTCGTTCCTATATACGCAACTTCGATAAAAACTGCTAATCTTGGCAGTAAAGATCAATTCCGCAAAAGTTTAGAATTTATTCTTTTTGGCTTCTCATTGGACATTATTAGTAGCATCATTATATATTATTGGATTATATAAACGTCTCTTTTGTTACATATATGCATGCATTACATAGTATATTGTGTACACTTCTATGGTCGGTGGCATGAATCCAATCATACACTACTATACTCATCATTAGAAGCATTCTTGAAAGGCGATCACAAAAGAGAGCAACAGAAAATAAATATATCCAATGTACACAGAAAAGGAACTGGAAGGAGAAGTATAACTGACATCGTCAGTGAAAAAAGGAGAAGGAGAGACAACAGAAGAAGGCGGTAAGTAATTTAGTATATGCGAGAAACCTGCAGCCATATAAAAGAAGAGAATTAAAGTCCAATATAAACAATATATTACAGTTTCATTGCTGACTTCATTCTGTTCAATAAGTGCTTGAACAGGCTGGGTGATGTGCAAATAAATCATTCGGCTTAGTATTCTTTTTCTATCTGAGGGTCAGTTGAATTGACAGCGAAATAAAGACTAAACTGATTGCCAAAGCAGAGACAGTCTTTCCATAACAACTTGTCGCATTTTTTCTGACTTGTCGCTTTGGTGCAAGTCATCAAAGCTTTCTCATGCATAAGTCTGATGTAAACTAATTAAGTTGTACGAGAGTCATAAAGAGTTTATGAGTAATAGAAAGGTATTAAATGGCTTTTTTATTCAAACAATCTCCCAAGCGCTTAGCAAAACCATAAAGATGGCTTTGAGGGATTTGGCTACAGGCTTCAGTGATACGGTCTTGCATGGTTTCCTCTTCGAGAATTTGATATCTTTTGAGTTTGCTCTTAACAACCGACCAGAATTGCTCTATAGGATTTAATTCGGGGGATGAGGAGTAAGGTGGCAAATAAACACATTTGTATCCTCGATTTGCGATCATCTCTTGAATATCAGTTCGTTTGTGAATTGCAACATTATCCATGATGATATAGGAGCCCTGGGTATATTCATATGCATCTAAAATATCAAAGGTATCGCTTAAAAAGCACAGATAATGGTCTATAGTGATCCCCTTTGGCCTCGGCTTTTGAGCTTTTTCTTGGTCAAGTTTTCTCTTTTTGTCAACCTCTACAGGAAAAAGCTTCTTGGTGGCTAAATTGGGAATTCGAATGCTGACATTCGCGACTGCATATGCTGAAACGGCACCCAAAATTGTATGAGAGACAGCCCTAGTATTTTCAACCTTCACAATAAGTGCCTCACCCTTTGGTGCCCACGCACCACTACGATTCATGTTAATATGGAAGCCAGACTCATCAATAAATACACAGTTTTTAAGAGAACTCATGTCCGTTTCAATCACTTGCTTAGCCCACTTGAATTGTGCTTCATTCAATAGCGCCCTCATCATTTTCTTTTAAGGCTGTAAAAAGCAGCTCTTTTACTGATAGGCCTCACGACCACAAGGCTCGATCTACTCAAGTTAATTTCTTAGGCATCTGTCTGTGAAGCGCTCGAACAAATTTTACTGGTGTATCAAGACATTTTCTTCCTGCTCCATTTCTCTCAGGCGTGACGAAGATATTCAACTAAGGCCTCAACATGTTTTCGTAATGTATGTTTGCTTTTTTTAAATTTTCTTATTTATGATTGAGAATCTGATCAACTCTTATTCAGAGAAAAAGAGGACTCAGAAAAAATTTGATCATCTTAATCGAATTCAATGTATCTTTATGTTGTGTATGTCAAGCTCTTTTGTATATTTTACAAATGTATTTCTTTCCTTTTGATCTCTGGTTCTTTTTACCTCACAATCAAGTCATCTCTGCCTAAATCTTGTGCTCATGAATTACTTATTCGTGTTCAGTAATTGCCACAAGCATTCTTAGACAAAAGCTATGTTTGTGATCCACTTGTATAACGGTTTTATCCACGCAAGTTTACTGCTTTACTGCTGTCTCTTATTTTCAGTATGAGTTGATCAGAGTGAATTTCACTTGTTGAGCTACAATTATGTTGTATCAAGCACTCTGCGACACTACTCTCTGTTTATGCGTACCTGATGTCTAGACTTGCAAGTGTTGGTAAGAGAAAAAGAATGGTCGTCAAAGCAAAGAGCAAGAAAATAAAAATTGGAGTTTTAAATATAGCAGCATCCTCCTACAAGGCATCCATTGCTAGTTGTGCTCAAAGCTACTCTCTTTAGCCTCAAGAATATTATGTATTATAGTAAGTTCTACTCAAAAATACTCTTCACATCAACTGGTGCTAAAATAAGTACCAGATTAATCAGTACTATCTGCTGAAAAGGGTCTCTTTTGTATTGATTACAGTGTATAATGAACTTTGAATGCATATTTGAGGACAATGCTCAAATCAAGTCGCCTTTCTTTTTTTTTATCTTAATGAACTCGTTTTCTTTTCATTGGAAGTACATAAAAATGGTCTTACCTGATTCCGGTTAGATCAGACTTACATTGGGTCACTCCAAAGATTCTTGATCGAGTTTTTTTTTTTTTGTTTTATTTTATTTTATTTTATTTTATTTTATTTTATTTTATTTTATTTTATTTTATTTTATTTTATTTTATTTTATTTTATTTTATTTTATTTTATTTTATTTTCACGGACCACCGTGAATCCCCCATCGGTCAAAACATGAATTTTACCCAACAACCAAAGCAATGGTACCATTTGATTTCTGAACTCAAACAAACATGCTCTAAACAAAACAAAACGAAAAACGGGCCGCTTTAGTAGTCTGGTTGTCGAGCAATGAGGCATCAAAGATTGGCATGGTTAAGCTGTGTTTTGAGCGTTTTTGCTCTAAATATCATATAGAATGTGTTGGAGATGGACTTTCAAAAGACATCTTGAGCTATCTGAGTGCTATCAAAGCATATAAAAGTAAGAATATAGGTACTTTATAATATGAATGAGGGAGCAAGTTTTTTTTGTAGTTGGATTTTATTTACAATATTATTGATTAGTCACACATCGCAGAGAGGTGGGACGTCGAAAAACAGGAGTAAAGAGAGACGAAGTAAAGATCATACAATGATCAGGGCTATTTTAGCAAGTAATGATTTTTAGTAGCTAAGGCTACCTGGTAAATTGTATCTGAAATGATACAAGAATGTTCAAAAGCAACCTGGTTAAGAATCAGGTTCCAATAGGATTTCCAGATATTCCATTGAGATATCGCAACGATGGATACAAGCTTGGAGCGGTTCGTAATGGCAGGAGGAAAGACTTGAAGAGTGAGGACCTTGTGGAGGGAGGGAGGAGTAAAGTATACCAGAGGGTAGTAGCAGTTCAGTATTTCCAACCAAACACTCCACTTGGTAGAGCAGTGGGCTATGAAATGATCATACGATTCCGGTTGTGATTTGCACAGCCGACAGACAGGAGTAGAGACAGTACCAATCTTGAAAAGTTCGGACGCAGTGGGCAGTTTCTTGTGAAGCACACGATACCACAGTGTTCTAGCCTGAGGGAGCATTGGAGTCCTCCAAAACAGAGAGAGCGAAGTACGAGAAGTCTTTATTCGGGATTTAGCTTTGTCTTCATAAGGATGCAGGCAGAAATCCCTAGAAGTGAAAGAGCGCCACAATCTTGTGTCAGTTAATTGCTTGGTCAAAGCATCATAGACAGAGACAGTAGATGGTGTCACATCTTGTGTAATATATTGCCACAGGAAAGATTGAAGTTTTACTGTTCGTCTACGAAGAACGTCTATAAAGAGCTGATGGCACAATCTTGGTAATGTCCCATATTCATGGCGAACCTTCAGGCGTAACCGGTTACTCTGTTCGTCAAAGAGGAAGAAGAGAGATGCTGGTACTTCTGAATGTCGATGAAGCCAGTGGTTCTGAGCTACCTCTTGAAACATGTTAATCAGCGGAAAGTAAAGCAAGTTGGCTAGAGGCACATTATCAAATTTGAAGTTGATACCAAAGTGATCAAAGGCAGCATAAATACCATTGACAACTGAAGTGGGATGACAAAGGTCATGACGGCGAAGAGCTCTAGAGAAAAAGGGTAGCAATGTATTGTCAGCATCCGGAGACATGATGCCAAAGTGTTCTGTCATAAGCACTCGGAGCTGAGTAGGTAGATTAGACGAGCTAAACAGAATAAAGACCCATTTCATCTGCAGCACCAAGTATTGTGTGATAGATTTGAGAGCTCCTACACTATCTTGATCCTTAAAGAGACATAACTGGTCAAAATAAACATAAGAAAACTTCTTTTGCCACACGTAAGCATAGATAATCGAACGAAGTTTATTCAGAAATCGCTTAGTAGGCGCAAACAACCGCAAACAGTACCAAATTTTGGATAAGATCAAAGTGTTGGCAACGGTAGCTCTTCCTTGAAGCGAGAGGTAACGCTGAGAGTATCCATAAACCCGTGTACGCACTTATTCCAATAACATATGCTGGACACGATTCCGTTGAGAATTTGTGTATGGCATATAAAAGCCAAGGTATCGAAAAGCAGAAGGGGAATGATGGTGGTAGTATGTTTCGATATCGTGACTCAAGAGCAAAGATTCCCAAGATTCTGACTTGACTCCACTCAGTGAGAAAGCTTCCGTCTTGTGCTTGTTAAATCTTGCATTTGATACAGCACTATACTTAGTCAAGTGATGTTGGAGACGCATAAAATCAGTGGCATCCTTGACAAACACACAGATATCATCAGCATATGCGATGCACTTGATCTGTTGAGACGTAGTGCTCATTGTCGGGACATAACCTTGATATGTAGGGTCTTGCTGGA